TGCGAAGCTAAAATTTTCCGATCGCAAAGTGTTGTAAAGTGCTCGTGTGCCAATTGTGAAAGGGCCTTAAGCTTTTGGTTATTTATTTAAGGATTGGCCTATGTGGTGAGGCTAATTTTAGGATATGGTGGACCGGAAGGGACAATATGGTGGACATACATTGCGACGTGGTGTGAAGTGTGAATCTGTGAAGTTATGACCATGATTGAAATTTTGGCCGCTTTCATGTTTATTGTACATAAAAATTATGAAGATAAATTTACTGTTAATTTTTGTGAATCTTGTTATTTCTTGATAAACAGGAAGTCTTCCAAAATATTATTTGTTTATGGTTGTTAATAAACTGTACGAATTTAAAGAACCCATAACAACTTAAGGTCATTTGTGACATTTTTCTTGATCTTACATTAGCAATTGTCCAAACGAACTTAAATTATGAGTATCATAAAAATAAATTTTACCCTAATCCCGCACCCAAAGCAATTCCTGTATTGTGCATCATAAATGCACGTATCTTAAATCCAACAGGGTCATCATTAATCGTAATAATATGCGAATATTGTCAGGTAGTTCAAAATCAAGTTTCTTCAAATCATGCCCCTTACATTGCAAGTCTATGGTATGACTGGGATACAGTGCAGGCCAAGAGTTTTACGATATAACTTGAAAGTATAAGTATTGCTGAAGAAGATTTTCTGTATAATATCATGACTTATATGCTAGTATTGCAATAACATTTCATCTAAAAGTTTTGTAATGATTGCCACACCCTTTTCTAGAGCTGTAATAACTGTGTATCTAATTCTGCAGTTTTAAAGTTATTTCAATGGTGTCTGTTAGTTTTAGAGTCTAACAAAGACCTAATTTTGATCAGACTTTAATTATTAACAATACATGGCTTACGTTTATGCTCCAAAGATTCGGGGTATACATTTTTTGTCCTGTCCTTCCATCTTTCCTTTTTTTCGCATAAAAACTAAGCTTGCCCATTTATCCGTACTCGGTGGAGATATGGTTTTCATAATTCCCAGGGGTATTATTTATGACAAGGCCTTTCCTTTGGTAACATCATATTTGAATTCTTCACCATAAAGTTTGACCCACTTTTACAAAAAACAAACACACAAATGGGCACAAGTTTTGAAACGTTGGAGTCCTGGCTTTCATACTTTACATGAGTATTTATTGTGTCAAGACCTTTCAATAAGTATTGTACTTTCAGTGTACAAATTTTTGATCCTTTGACCTTGACCTTAGAGTTTATTCAACTTTGTAAATAACTTTAACCTTGACCATAACCTTTTGACCTTGACGTTTGTATTGCGTTTGAGAATTTTCAACCTTCATCATAAGCCGCTATATGGTGACATCAGTGTTTCACAAGCACATCTTGTTATACCCCCAGCTTGAAAAGCGAGAAAGTATATAGTGATCTGGATGTCCGTCTGTTCGTCTATTATGCTTTGGTATAATAATCTCTTATCGGCAACTCATCTAAAACCACTGAATGAAATTTGATGAATCTTTCGGAGAATCATTATTTCATAGTGCCATTGTGGACCTTCTATTTTACTTTTTGATCCGACACATATTTTGGATTTCCCATAGCAAAACATGGACTTTGCAATTATATTCCTATGGGAGGTGTATTATTTAGTGAGCTCATTGCTCACAGTACCTTTAGTTTAATATATACTAGTAGTATATTGATTAGTCCACTAAATATGATAAAAAAAAAACTACTAGAAAAGTTTCATTTTTTCTGGTAATAGTTAAAACAAACTTGACTTAAAAGTTTTCAAATTTCCCCCACTTGTTTGAGTACCTCTTCTAATATAAATTGGATACCTATATATCTTTTGTAAGCATATATAATTTTAGAAAAATGGTAATCCGCAGAAATATATCGATGAAATTTAGGTTTTTGAGTGAATCTCCCTTATTGATGACATATTAATGACATAAAGATGATTAAAATTCAGATCTTTCACGGAAGCAAATTTTCTGGAGGCCAACAGTTCATGTATTAAGATATCTTCCCAAGTCAAGAGATCCTATTACAACTAGTAGATGAACATTCTGCTAAATAAAAACTTTGTCTTGGGAAGGTGTGATAAATACAAAAGAAATACGCACGCTAACTCTCATTCCCGCCTACAGTTTGGAACCATTTAATTTAATATAAATGGCAATTTGGTCATAAAATATTTGTTTAATACAAAGAACAGTTCAATGGTAATTGATGAATTGTCTTAATACCAGTGCTAAACAGTATATTATCCATAATTCAAGCTCTTAAAAAAAGGGGGGTAGACGATATTTTCCATTAAAATCGGAGTTTTCAAGCATCACAATATTTTGAAATAGTCTTGGATATGATTAAATGTTCATTATATCTTTTCTTATGTTTTAGGCAAATAAGTAAAACATAAATATATCAATAAAATATAATGTTTCAGTTGTAAATCGCTTTGAAATTGGTGGAAAATTAGAGCATTTTTATCGTTTCAATAAACATATGTCCCCCTCCCCCCGTGTCACACAAAAAGCTTTGGTATGAATTTGTGAAATAACATTCCATATTACCTGTAAAAAGGAATTTTTGTGACACGGGGGGGGGGAAGACGTTTTAAAAATATTTTCCGTTGATTTCTATAGTGAAAAACAGAAGATTTAACCAAATTTTAAAGTTATCTCTCTTTGTTTTCCCGAATAAGTAATGTTTTATGAAAATCCATATATTTATCTATAAAAAATATCAAAAATTCTTCGATCGCGAATATGTTAACTTTTAAAAATTGACTTGAAGTTAGGCGGGAGAACAATACTATGGCTCGCACTTCTTTTCCTTAATTTTGTTCTGCTGTTCATGGAGATCAAAATGAAAAAAGAATTCGTTATCTTTGACTCTTCTTCTTGTATTAAACATTTCTAATGTAAGTTTCAGAAATTAGAATCAAACTGTAGGAGTAATGGGCGTTTTTAGAAATACAACAGTAATATTACAGAAATATATCATTATTAACATGAAAAAAATCTAATTTAGTAAATACCATGTAAACAAAAAATAAAGCACTTGTATAATTCATTACATGTAATTATTTTATAATATTTATTAAACTAGAAAACTGATCAGTCAGCAAGGGCCCCGCCATGGGGTAGAATTATAAGGGTGCAGCTTATGGAATGATTAAAAAATATATGACAAATAAGAAACAGCAACTGCATTCTTAAATTTCAAGATAATTCCTGAATATCCAAAAACCTGCTAATAATATCTTTGTATTTACACAAGGCAGTAAAGAACAACTCAACACTGAATGTAATTATCTGAACAATAATGAAGCTTGTGTTATATAAAATGCCAGCCTTCAATGAATGCAAATACATATCATGAAGGCTTGGCCTTAACTTAAAAACAAGCAGCAGTTGCAGACAAAGGTTTTCATTAATCTTAAAGTGACAGATAAAGATAAGCCTTCTAAATTTTCAGCAGCAGACTAGATAATTAATCCCAAGGGATTAACTGTACTTCTCTCTCATCATTTTCTTCTTAATTTGTTAGAACTTTTTCAGTAGTGATAGAATGAGGTTTTTATCTTACTACCTTAAAAATCAACAATATTCTTGAATTTACATGAAGCAAGAAAAAAAAAAATAAATAAAAATAAAAAATATATATCTTCTTTAAACTATTTCTTGTTTTAAGAATTCAATTAAATCAGAACTCATTGTGTAGGGTATTTAAACAAAAATAAACTAAAAACATTTATACTTCAATCCACTTAAATGGGCTTAACTTCAAAACAAACTTCATTTGCAGACAGAGGTGGTAATTTATCTCAACGTGACAGATAAAGATAATGCTTTGGATTTTCTTCAGGAGGAAAGCTAATTAATCCCAAGGGATTCATTCATTGCAGTATTCAGTTTACAATGGGAGCATTTTCAGAAGTTATCTCTTTTTGCCAATTCATTCTTATATAAAGTTAAGGAATCTACCCACCACCCCAGCTCCAAACCAGAGGACATAGTCGATAGAGAAACAAACTTTATCAAAATATGTCTTTTTGCCTACTGAACTACCATACCAAATTTCAACTTAATTGGACAACCATAAAAAAAGTTATTAGGAAAAAACAGAAAATTTGTGGACGGAAGAATGACAGACGGACAGCTAGACAGACAGACAGACAGACAGACAGAGTGATTACTATAGGGCACCAGCAAATCCTTGCGGGGCCCTAATAAATATAATCAAGGTTAAGGTTAATACCTCTTTAATTTTCAGCGGATGTTTATATGATAACATGATTATTACAAAGCTCTCTTTTACTCTATGATGAAATAATGCACAGCTGCCATAAGCGGGTTTAACATATACATGTACAGTATATATATTACATGTAACAAAACTGATGCTAAGTAGCTTTTTTAGAATAATGAAATAATGTTTGAAATGGGAATGGACTAGCTAAGTTTTTGGAACTTGTGTCCATTCCTTATGACATGTTCTAAATAAAATATATGCAAAACAATGTTTGAAATAAAGAATATTTCACAAATACAGTGTATACATGTATCAACAAAATTGAAGTGGTTTTTTTTTTTTTTTTTTTTTTTTTTTTTTTTGATAATCAAATAATGTTTGAAATACAAAAAAATGTTTCACATATACAGTATAAATAAAAAAAACTGATGGTTATTTAGGATTATGAAATAATGTATGAAATAAAGAATATTTCACATATACATTTTAAATCAACAAAACTGGTGTTTTAAGGATAATGAAATAATGTTTGAAATAAAGAGTTGTTTCACATGTACAGTGTATATCAACAAAATTTATGTTTTTTAGGATTATGAAATAATGAAAAGCTGCCTTAAGCATGTTTAACATATACGTACAGTATAAATTAACAAACAGATGTTTTGAAGAAGATGAAATAATGAAGGCTGTCTTATGTTACACATATATCTCAACAAAACTGACGGGGATTTTATGGATGATGAAGTAATGAAAGGCTGTCTTATGTTTAACAAAGATACAGTATAAATCAACAAAACTGGTGTTTTTTAGGATCCTGAAGACACCCTAACCAGAAGAGAAGCTCTGCCATTTTTACCCTGTCCTCGGCTTTCAGAATGTCTAGAGGCTCTGTGTACATTATCTTCCCTGGATCTTCTGTGGAACCTCTCTGCCCTTTACATAGGCTGATGGCATGTTTCTTTGATACTTTCAGTAATACAAAAATTAACTGCAAAAAAAAACAAACAAAAAAAAATCATGACACTCATGTTATACAATGCTAACCTGTGTAACACTCTTTTTTTCTATTTAGCCTTAGAAAGAATGCAAATGTTTGACATTTAATTAATTAAAATATTTTTTCCCTCTGTACTTTAGATGATTTCAACTTAAATCAATCATCTAACCAAGATAACCTTGGAAGGGGGGGCTAGATAGTTTTTTTGTTTTTGTTTTTGCTCTTTATCCATGTTTCTTAGGGATGCTCCATATCATGCATATTGAAATATGAAGAAGTTGAAAATGAAAATTCTATTCCATCCAAAACACAAACTTTGATCATAAAAATCCCCCAAGAGCCAATGGCAAAGATAACCTAAATATACAACACTAAAATGCACAAAGTATGACATGATTTATCATAATAACAAACTTAACACCTATATTTCAATATTTCTTTGTACTGTGTGCTCTTACCTTTGTGTCCATGCAGAGGACTCCTAGACAATTTGGATAAAATACAGAGCGTCTTATCTGACCAATGAGTTCTATTCCAAACTGTCCCATGATTTTGGTCCCAACTAGGTCTTTTATGTCTGTTGTGTCTTGATTAACTGGTGCTTCATGTACCTAAATTAAAGAATAATAAGTGTTAGTACATATACGGAACAATGAACTATGCACTTTAAAGAATTTGACAGTGTCTCATTAACCAATACAAGTATCATATATATTTATCTATTGACCTCACTAGCAAGTTTCATGAAAACTCCTTTTCAAACTGTTACATTGATTTAATAACAAAAAATCTTAAGTTGCTGAGACTCATGACTTGTGCAGAGCACACTTTTACACAGCACAAATGTGCACTATAACACAGCATATGTTTTCTCCATAGTTTTGTGTGCGACAATTGCACAGCACAATCATGTACATGTACAACAAAACACAGCACACATTTCCTCCATACAATTGTGTGGGACTATAAAACAGTAAGTTTGGTTTCAGTAACATATTAAATGCCAGATATGTACCAATATCAACCTCATAACTATAACTTTATAGACCTGTATGCTTCAGATATTTAAGTCTTTTCTGTCAGTTAGATTTCAATCACTTAACATCTTCTATCTGCAGTATAATGTTAACAAATTTACCTCTGTTATAAACAAGAGTTCCTCATCCCTGGACTGAGAATACCAAGGGTAGACAATATCAGGCTTCTTCCTCAAAGTACGATCTTTTAGAGTAAAGGACACCAGAGGGAGTTCACTGAAAAAATATAATGTACTTTTAAAACACAACTTAGACATCACTAAATATAAATTTTCAATTAAAACTTAGTAATAATTTATATTCATACCCTAAAAGAATTCAGAATGATACCTTGAATTTATATGCATTTAAATGTGCAATGAATAAAGGTGATGGCAAACCCAATGGTCTTTAGTAAGTCTAAACAAACAAGCCTAAATTGAAATTTCCAATTCTTGTCTACTTTTCCAAATATTTTGGGGGCGGTTGTTGGGAATGGGGGATGGGGGGGGGGGGGGTCATGTATAACAACAGTTAACAGACTCACCCTTCACTTAAAAAGAAGATCTTTCCAAACACTTTACAGAAGTTCTGGAAGTAATTTTTGCCTGGCCCTCCGTCATTTTGTTTTGATGTAGATATAGGCTCCCTTAGCACCAGTTTAAGTAGTAACTCAGTCTCCCGGGCGAAGTGTCGCGAGGCAGAAATACACAACACAGCGACCTCCAGGGCAGATTTCCCCACAGCTGATTCTAGCGCCCTGCAAAATCTGAACAGTAAAAAATAAATGATTACAATTAATTTCTTCCTTCTTTCCTTTAAATTGTTTTGTTTTCCCTTCCATTCTATATTTCATTAGAATTCATGGAATTAAATGGTGGATCCATATGTAGAAATTTTAACAATTGACTTCTCCTTTTCACTAATGCTGGAGAATTTCAACTAGCTACTCATAATTTAGGATTAGTCAGGGAAATGGAAACATATTTATTTATCTAGGCCTTACTTATTTAAATTTTGGATGATGTGTATATTGTATACTCTTGAATAAATTAAATAAACTTTAGAATTAAAAACATAGGTAATCAGAGATTACAGAGCTCACCTCAACGAATGTTGTCTTTAAGTAAGGCAAAGTCACACAATTAACCAACAAAAAGTGTACATTCCAGAAATGAAAATATTTAAGCAATTGAATACATTGAAATAGACCTATATAAAAAATTTAAACTAGTTGTTCATGAAAATGTAATTAAAATTAAGCATCTGAAGCAAATTTGAGAGTTTTCATCTCCTGATGCAACATTTGTGCAAGTTTGGTTTGGTTTATACAATGTTATATAAGCCTTCAAGTTTTTTGGTAATTGACCTGCACCCATAACTTTTACCTGGTCTATTATCTGAAAAAATGTATGTCGAATTCAGCATCCAAAGTAAGTCCATTAGTGTGCATCCTAAGATGTATCGTCCATGCAAGTTTGCTCATTATAGGGCTCATAGTTAATTGGAAATGATACATTCAGCACAAACTAACATTTTCACTCATCCACAAAATGTAGGTCAGATTCAGCATCCGAAACAAGCCTGATAGTATGCATCCTTAGATGTATCATCCATGCAAGTTTGGTCAACATAGGGCTTATAGTTACTTGGAAATGAAACCTGCACCAAAAACTTTAACCTTATCACTCAACCAGAAAATGTAGGTCAGATTCAGCATCTGAAGCAAGCCCGGTAGTATGCATCCTTAGATGTATCATCCGTGCAAGTTTGGTCATAAAAGAAGTCATAGTTACTTGGAAATGAATTATGCATTAAAAACTTTAACCTGTTCACTCAACCGGAAAATGTACATTGTAGATCAGATTCAGCATTCGAAGCAAGCCTGATAGTATGCATCCTTAGATGTATCATCGATGCAAGTTTGGTCAACATAGGGCTTATAGTTACTTGGAAATGAAACCTGCACCAAAAACTTTAACCTTATCACTCAACCGGAAAATGTAGGTCAGATTCAGCATCCGAAGCAAGCCCAGTAGTATGCATCCTTAGACATATCATCCATGCAAGTTTGGTCAACATAGGGCTTATAGTAACTTGGAAATAAAACCTGCCCAAAAAAATTTAACCTGTTCACTCAACCGGAAAATGTAGGTCAAATTCAGCATCTGAAGCAAGCCCGGTAGTATGCATCCTTAAATGTATCATCCATACAAGTTTGGTCAACATAGGGCTTATAGTTACTTAGAAATGAAACCTGCACAAAAAAATTTAACCTGTTCACTCAACCGGAAAATGTAGGTCAGATTCAGCATCCGAAGCAAGCCCGGTAGTATGCATCCTTAGACGGATCATCCATGCAAGTTTGGTCAACATAGGGCTTATAGTTACTTGGAAATGAAACCTGCACAAAAAAATTTAACCTGTTCACTCAACCGGAAAATGTAGGTCAGATTCAGCATCCGAAGCAAGCCTGATTATATGCATCCTTAGATGTATCATCCATGCAAGTTTGGTCAACATAGGGCTTATAGTAACTTGGAAATAAAACCTGCCCAAAAAAATTTAACCTGTTCACTCAACCGGAAAATGTAGGTCAAATTCAGCATCTGAAGCAAGCCCGGTAGTATGCATCCTTAAATGTATCATCCATACAAGTTTGGTCAACATAGGGCTTATAGTTACTTGGAAATGAAACCTGCACCAAAAACTTTAACCTGTTCACTCATCCGGAAAATGTAGGTCAAATTCAGCATCCAAAGCAAGCCCAGTAGTATGCATCCTTAGATGTATCAACCATGCAAGTTTGGTCAACATAGGGCTTATAGTTACTTGGAAATGAAACCTGCACCAAAAACTGCACCAAAAATGTTAACCTGCTCCAAAAACATGAACATGGCCATTCCTTTGCTGAAATTGCAGCATCTGAAACTTTGACTGGTACAATGAAACACATTAGAAGCATCTTCCATGCATGTCTAATCAATATAGGACATAGAAATACTTAAAAAGAAAACTGCTCCAAAAAACTTAACCTGGGACGCCAACGCCGACACCGACACCGACGCCGACGCCGAGGGTATTACATAAGCTCCCCCAACTTCGTTGAGGTGAGCTAAAAATCATTAATTAGAAACACTTCTTTGAAAACAAGTATCCAATAACTTACAGGTTCTCTGAATCAAATTCCTCTGCTTTTTCCTGCATCCTTTGGACGTCCTCCTTTATCTTCCTAGACACCTCCTGTCTCACCTCTATCACGTCTTTAGCTGAAGCACATCTTATGTCCCGGACTTCTCCCAAATCATAAGAAAATGTCAGATCCTCTTCCATTTGACTCCTCAAAATATCAATCATTCTGCTGGGATTGGGACAGAAACCTTCCCTATTCCTGAAAGCATCCTTCACTTCTTTGGTAAAGTTCTCCAATGTCTCTGGTGTCTTCTCAAAGAAGATGTTTAAGTTTTCAAGGTCCTGACTGTCCCATTGATTTTCTGGGTTAGAGTTCCCTGATTCATCACTTGAAATTGAGCTCCCTGAGCAGCTAAACTCTGTGTCTGACTCAGCTTCACTCAGTGAGGTATAATCGTAGTAAGGTGAAGGTGGCTTTTTCTTTTTTGTTTTTAATTCTGCTTTACTAGAGCCTAGGGTTTCACTGTCTAAGACCTTTCCAAAACAAGAGGCCCACGGGCCTTATAGGTCACCTGAGTATCATGTAACAACTTTCCAGGAATTGTATTTGGTTCGTGTTTTAAGCCAAAAGCCATGAAATTCACGAATTTTGAAAGAGGCACCATTGCTTATCAAAGGGCAGATTTCAAAGCATTAATTTATTTTTTAGTCAAAGTACCCCCTTGGTACCCCTGACCCAGCAGCCCTGAAATTATCTATTTTGAAAGAGGACCCTTTCTTCATTATAAGGCCAGCATTTTTTTATGTTTAGGTTTAGTTATGAACATGAGAATAAAAAAGTCCCAAAGGAAAAGGAAATAAAAAGTTTTTTTGATAAATCAATTATTAACATTTGTACATTCTTTTTTATGCTATCCTAATAGGCTCCTTACCACTGGACACATAATGCTTACAAATAGGAAAGTAGAACATTTAATTGCTTATTTCATCATCTGCCAGTTTGGGCCAGTTATATAAATTTTGTGATGTTGATCAAAATATATTTTAAAAAATCAATTCTTTAAAAGTCTTTCAATACATCAATATGTGTTAGGTGAATGTGTAGACATTGTTCTAAAATTTACTTGATGCCTAAAATTATAATTCCTATCATAAAACAGACAGGAGGTATTGGGGAGTAGGGTCAACATTTTTTCAATTAAGTGTAAAATAATTTTTCTGGCTGATACAAATGATACTACATGCCTGTATATATTTGTATATTCTTGCCTTTTAATAGATGGATTTTTTTTTATTTTTTCACTTCAGGTTATTGTTTATTTCTTCCTCAAATGGACTTCACTTCTCCCATAGTTTTATTCATTACATCTGATGCATAAGCAACCATTTTCTGAAGAATGATGCTTAGACTGTAAGCTATAACAGAGACCTAAACAATGTCCCTGGCAATATGCAATAGCTACCACGGGCAGTTTAAAACCTGGGGGAGGAAAATAATTTACAGTTACTTTTGAAACGAATACATAATTATCTCACCAGCATGTCGTTGTGCAACAAAGTCGTCAGCATTTTATTTGTCCTTAGAACGGGTGAAACGTTTTGAATGGCACTCTTATCGATGAATTTTACACTAAACCATGCTAAATTCTTGGATGTAGCTTTTTTACCCGCCGTTTCATCTAAAAACCGGAAGTGCGAGTTCGTAAATTTGAAATCTCGATCCCGACTCAAATTTGACATAGGAAAGAAAAATTTTTTTATTTTTTTCTAAAAGTTCAAAACCTTGAGCGGAGGGTTTGTAAAACTGAAAATAAAATAAATCCTGGCCTTAGATATGTAATTAGATCATTAGCATATTAACCAAGAGCAAAGGATAAGATGTTCAAAGAATTCATACATTTCATAATCATTAGAGCCCCACCCTAAAACAAGAACCCCTGACCCTGGGGCCATAAAATTCACAAGTTTGGTAGAGGCACTCTTGCTTATCATAACTATGTACTTAGTTAGTTTATTTAATACCCAGGAGCAGAGAACAAGATTTTCAAAGAATTAATGTATTTTCACTATATAGCCAATAGAGCCCCGCCCTAACACCAGAACCCCTGACCCTGGGGCCATAAAATTCACAATTTTGGTAGAGGCACTCTTGCTCATCATAACTATGTACTTAGTTGGTTTATTTAATACCCAGGAGCAGAGAAGAAGATTTTCAAAGAAATAATGCATTTTTACTACCTACTTATTTAGCCCCGCCCTAGCACTAGAACCCCTGACCCTGTGGCCATGAATTTCACAATTTTGGTAGAGGACTCATTGCTGATTACAATCATGCAAACAGTTTGACTGCTTGATGTCCAGGAGTAAAGAAGAAGATTTTTAAAGATTGCACTAATTTTAGTGGTTTTGGCCCCACCCCTCAGGCCCCAGGGGGGCAGGGATCATGAAATTCACAATTTTTGTTCCCCTTCACCCATAGATGCTTTGTACCAAATTTGGTTGAAATTGGTTCAGTGGTTGTAGAGAAGAAGCTGAAAATGTTCAAATGTTAACGCACGACGAACGACGAACGACGCACGACGCACGACGAACGACGACGGACGAAAACAGATAGCAATAGGTCACCTGAGTTTACTCAGGTGACCTAACAAGAAAAAAATAAAAATATCAGAAACTTTAAGCATTTTTGTAAGAGGCCTGTGAGTAAAAAGGCTCACCCTAGTGACTTAATCCATACATGTACTTGAAAAGATTTCATTTCCCAGTATAAAAATGGGCATTGCTTTAAAATTTCATTACTAGAGCTTGATGATTCAAAGTCTTTTGAGAAACAATAATAAAGTGCCACGCCACAGCATGATACGCCCGTCAAAAAATTACAATTATAATGTATCTTAAACAGTTAAAAGTGCAGGAAAATCATGTCAACCTTGATTTTAAGATTTCAATGATTTTTACACACCTTAAAAAATTTGTTTATCCATCTCATGTGGTGTAGGCATTAATTATAACAAATATTGCATCATTCATAGATTTCTATACCTTGCCAAATGCCTATCATGTTAAACAATATCAAATTAATCTTCACAACTTAATCTATACCTAATTAATTTTGGAAATAAAAGGCTGGCCATCAAATATAAACTGACCAACAGTTCTTCTGTCTAATTCCCGAAGGAGACAATTAAGAGCATGCTCTGAAGTAATGAAAGAGACATGCAGCTTGTGAAAGAGACATGTCAACCTTGATTTTAAGATTTCAATGATTTTTACACACCTTAAAAAATTTGTTTATCCATCTCATGTGGTGTACCATTAATTATAACAAATATTGCATCATTCATAGATTTCTATACCTTGCCAAATGCCTATCATGTTAAACAATATCAAATTAATCTTCACAACTTAATCTATACCTAATTAATTTTGGAAATAAAAGGCTGGCCATCAAATATAAACTGACCAACAGTTCTTCTGTCTAATTCCCGAAGGAGACAATTAAGAGCATGCTCTGAAGTAATGAAAGAGACATGCAGCTAGCCTTCCTACATTGAACACATTAATTAATCTTTAACTGGATGCTTGTCTACTCATTACCCATGGCAAAGTGGAAGGCAGTTATTAAGCAGTTTCTTAGCCTTAACAGTTTGAATATTTAAGCAGTCCTAGAGCAGTTACTTAACCTTCCCCAGATTGCTAATGGATGAACAAACCTTTTGCAATCTATAAGCAGTTTTCTTAGCCTTACCAGTTTCTTAGCAGTTCATAGGCAGTTTCTTAGCAGTTCATAGGCAGTTACTTTAGCAGTTCATAGGCAGTTACTTTAGCAGTTCACAGGCAGTTGCTTAAGCAGTTTTTGCTAACTGCTTGTGGACTTCCAGTATACTGCTTATCTAGTTCCCTTTTACCACATAAATATTAATGAGTCACGAAGATGTTTTCTGGTATCAAATTTAAAACAATTAACAATAATAGATCAATTGTTACATTTTAATTTATTGTATTTTGTACAATTGTATAACTACACAATCAAGCAATCAGAAATTGCTATGATGAATGTTTAAAAAATTTTAAACACTGTTTAATGCATCTGTAATTTTACATGTATCTTATTTACATAAACAACCATGCAGTTATACTCACTGACTTTTTAGAAAAAACTTATATATCCCAGGGCATATATATATAATACTCAACAATATACATCACTGAAGGTAAATTAAAATGTCAAAATTAAGTAACAGCAATAAATGTCCACTTCATCCTACATTAAGTCCTGGTTATACAGCAGTCCTATTGCACTGAAGGCCGGTATATTGTTGGGTTTTTCTATCCTTATATAAACCACAAAAGTATTTCAATTGGCACTCTTTTGGTATCAATCATAATTGCTCAGGTTTATAGATTATCCATTGATCTCAGTTGTTTTTTCTTGAAAGAGACACAAAAATTTGTGTATGCAAACTAGATCGAGTCTTGTCCCACTCCTCTTCTAAAAGTCGACTGTAAATGGAAAGGAATTAATTATGAAACAAATTGTAATTAATATATGCCATTCAAACAAAATTAGAACAGAACATGTATTCAATTTATTTCTTTATTAAAGGCCACATATATATTGTATAACTTACCAATTGTTAAATGACTACATCATTTTTTCAATAAATCTAAAGCTTATGGCCAGCAGGCTCCCTCTTCATTGGTTTGTATACCTTTGTCCAACAATACAAATTGGCACCCAGAATTCAATTTTGGCGGTCAGTTGTGGGTTCCTGTTGTTTATATTTGTTGGAACATTGAGCCCAACATTAAATTTCTCTTGAACCCAATCAAATTATACAAGGAAACTGCTTATATACTGCTTACAAAACTGTTTAGGAAAGCTGTCTTGTCCTCAAGCATATGCAGCTAAGTTATAACTGCTAGGGAAACTGATTACTGCATAAAAACTGCTAAGGAAAACTGTTTACTCCCAAGTCCCTAGCAGTTACTGGGGAGCAGTAAAAACCAAACTGCATGAAACTGTTAGAAAACTGCTACAAATTTGAAAAACTGCTAAAGAACTGTCTAATAACTGCCTATATAGGCAGTTCACTTTTCCATGGGTACTCCCAAAAGATTATTGGATCTGCACTATCTACCATAAAACATTTTTAAAACGTATAAAACATCAATGATTTTTTTTTTTTTAGATTTAATGTCAGACAGTTAATTGTTAATATGCAATTCACATGGACATGCAGATTCAACCCCTACCCCCATAAAATTAATTTTTAAGTTCACAATATTATGTAATAGTTTAATATGCAATATCAAATTAGTTTTAATTACTTCTCATCAAATTCATTTTAAAACTTTGGCTATCCAAGAAGAGCTATTTTTAATCCAAAAGGCTTACCCATTTGGCCCAATACTCAAGGGATACAGATAGCACTGATGCTCTTACAGCTACTCCTCACACTAAACTCATTAATTTCTCTCTCTAATTTGACATGCAATTTTCTGTTATCAAAATTCTTCTTGACCAGTGCTTGATAATTAGACTCATGGGAGTGGTGGAATTTCTCTAACATACATTACATTTGTTATAGATTGCTGTCAAGTATATATGCTAAAAAAATAAGTATTTTCTTAATTTAACATTTTTCTAATAAGGTTAGTGCAATAGTTTTACATTTTTTTGAATGTGTAAATGAATAGAAAAAAAGACATTTCTTTTTAAAAATTCCACTTAAATTAAAGGTCACAGTGACCTTGAAATAGGTCGCGACACACCTTCTACCTAAGATGCATAAACTGGCCAAGTTTGATGATTCTAAGTCTAATAGTTTTCTAGTTATGAACCGGACAGGATTTTTCCATATTTGGCTATAACTTTTTAATTATAGGTCAGAGCGACCTACTTTTTGTCCGCGACACACCTTCTACCCAAGATGTATCAGCTGACAAAGTTTGATAACTCTAGGCCTTATAGTATTCAAGTTATGAGCCGGACACGAGAAAAGCTAACAGACGGACAGACAGACAGACAGACAGACAGACAGACAGACGGACAGACACGAAGCCTATAACATAATACGTCCCGTCTTAAGACGGGCGTATAAAAAGTAGATACTCCCAATACATTTATTATGTAGGGGGAGCTGCAACCCCAATCCTTATCCCATTCTCCCTCAGTCTGCATTCTTAGGGGCCTGTTTTTATATGTTAGGTCAGGCGTTTTGTAATACAATAACATATAGACATGTAGAACATGAATTGAGCATGTTAAGCATGCACACAATGCAATTTATTCAAATACAAAAATGCATTTTAGAGCAATGTTTTATCTTTCATCTTTAAAATTTACAGAATTTTGTTTTATTAAGTTGATGTTTTAAATTAAAAGATGACGATTCTCACCAACTTCAGATTTTCATCATCTGGATCACTCGCCTTCCTTTTCCGAGTTCTCTCGGTTAAGGTTTTAGGTCCCATCAAGGCCATTTTTCTTTATCTTCTACAAGTAACAATAGATCCATTAACATTTTTCTATTGCCAATAGATATACAGGCAATAATTTATGACTTAAACTTTTGTTTCTCTAAATGTTCTTGATCTCTAAGTGTCTTTGTCAATTTCTTCAATGGGATAAAATTGTTATTTACCAGTAGACACACACATATGGGCAATACAGAAATGTATGGGATCCTTGCCTAAATAATGCATTTTTTCAAGGAAAATTTCATATTTCCCCTCTATTATTCAGTTTAATCTACATATCTATATCATGAGACGTGACAAACTAGAAATTCCAAATGTTTCCTGAGGTTTGAAGGGATGGATCCCAGTTAAAACTGGAAAGGTATCGGATCCACATCAGCACTTAGTATCTCAAAAGTTTGCACCATGTAAGATTCTCTTATTTTACGACTGATTAGCTAGGCACTGTCCACTTTGTGACTCAAACCTACAACCCTCAGAATATGAGATATAAAGTCCAACGCTCTACCGACTGAGCAAGGGTTAATTTTTAACCCACTAGGAGCATGGCCTCACTATTTACAACACATATAGCCACTTTCTTCAACTCTGTTACAATTTCATAAAGATAACTCTTTGCATTTGGAAGACATACGAAAATGTTACAGTAAAACTTGGTTATAGCAAAGTCCTTGGGACCTGTGTAATTAATTCGCTATATCCATAATTCATTATATCCGTAAAATGAAATAGTATAGCTATATATATAGCAAATTTGCAATAGGCACATTTTCCTTGAAGTTTTACCTAAGAGTGCAATGATAAAGCGTTTGTCGGTATACCACGGTTTATTTTTCCATGGTTCAGTTCGTTCATTATACGTGAAACTGATACCATGGTTTGGTTCAATCGGTCCGTAATTATCCGATTCTTCCCTTTTTGTTCATCATTTACAATTAAAAAATGGCTTCCGCACGAAACATGAGGTTAGCGTAATGAGCATTTGAAAAAACTTTTGAGTTTTAAGCATATGATCATGATGATGACAAATGTCTGACTTTTTAACCCAATATGTCATGTATCGTGATACATATCGTACCGTGAACTGAATACTGTGAAACGTATCATATTGTGGGGTAGGCGCATCGTTGCACCCCTAGTTTTACCGAATATGTTAGGGAAGCATAACATAACAAATAACATACTTTGGATAACAGGGTTTTTTTTTTAATGAATTGAATTTTAAATAAAAATACTTACTGAAAATAAAGTCAGATCAATATATCAAATTTTAAGATGCTTGAAAATTCGTTATAAAAGATGTAAATTGCATTATTTTTAACCTCTACGGGATTCAAAATTACTTCGCTATATCCGTAAATTCGTTATATCAAAGTTCGTTATAACCGTAAAAATTTTACAAAGAATTGTGAAGAATATGGCCGCGGGAACCACGAAAAACTTCGCTATATCCGTGAATTCGTTATATCCGTGTTCGCACTAAACGAGTTTTACTGTATCAACTTCTTATAATTTTCTGCAGTCAGTATTAAACATCGATGGTCAATTACTAGCTTTGTTGCTTAACTTGATTATTTACCTAAACATTTTAAAATTCGATTCAAATGAGACATACACATTTAGTCATTTATGCAGACACGTCTCTATCAGATATTGTGTACGTTCAATACGTTATTTTCCAAAGTCCAAACAAACAAATACGAATCATATAAAAATATCATTTTAAAAAGATAAACTTCCTTACTTTGACATAATCAAATAAAGGAATTTGTCTTTAAACCAAAGTGTTTAGTGTTATCAGATTCTACTTCTTCAAACTTTTGTCAGCCCGTCGATTGTTTTGAGGAGTAAGTAATTTTGGAATTTCAAACCCGATTTTTATTTTTTTGCAAGTGCCATGTAGGTGTCATCTTCGCGACGATGTGTAGGTGTATACATACGGGCTGCGATATTATGCAATAATCCCAAATTCCTATCAGTCTATGTAAAATGATTCAAATATCAATTATAAAACTGTATATCTTCAGTTTTCATGATATTGAAGATAAAATTAAAGGACACAAAAAAATGAATACTTTTAATACATGTACAAACAATTTTCAACTCTGAAAAAACATGCAGCTGCAATAAATTAATACGCAATATACTTTTTGTTGCACCATGAAGATCGAGGCAGAATATGGTACATTTAACATTCACAATCATGACAGTAAACATTGTATACATTGTATCTACATCCACTGAACATGCTGATTGAAATAAATAATTATATATACCCCCCACCCACCCACCCCACCCCGTTGATGTTCACTCTAGAACCATCATGATTTTTAAAATCCCACGTTGAAATCTAGATATAGAGTTATTATTTAGCCACCCAGGAGAGTTCTTCATTGTTAATTTATTGGACAAGAAAAAGTGTAAATTTTAAATTATAAATTTTACTTTTATAACACAAAAGCATAATAATGCTGTATTCAAATTTTATTTCATAATGCTATGTACATTACAAATAAATTTACATAAAATTAATGAAATAACACAAAAGCATAATAATGCTGTATTCAAATTTTATTTCATAATGCTATGTACATTACAAATAAATTTACATAAAATTAATGAAATATACATGAACATCAGCGGGTCTGTTAATCTAATAACCGTAAAAATGTTTTTTGCTATATATTAAAAAAAGACGGTTCTTTCTGAATACATAAAACTCATTAATTTGTGAATAAGTATTTTTTTCCTCTCAACGCTGTTTACTGAAGATTTTCTCAGGGATTTCCTTGTTGGTTTGGGATTTAGTTGTCGGTTTGAGATTTTCAAAGAGATTTCTTTGTTGACTGCAGATTTTCATAGATATTTCCTTGATCCTTGTTGTCGTTACTCCGGCCCATCATAAACTGTCCAGACTTGGTCATTCGGATTTCCCCAGATTCTCCAAAAGGCAGAGTTTCGTATTCACCACTACTCCCCCCTCCTTCACGTCGTTCTAATGTATCATCATACGTCGCTGGATTCTCTGTGTTCACTGTCTGTTCACCGACTTGTGGCTGAGTAGTTTGTCTTCCGTATGGGGCTATTTAAGAATTTCAAAACGTTGACTCATTTAATAATGATGAATTATTTGTATTGATCAAAGCTATCAGTTTGAAATAAATTAAATGATACTAGTATTTGTTGTAATTATAATTCATCTATGCTAAATTATACTTACATTTCCGTATAATTATAACCACGGCCAACAATATCGATAAAGAAGCGAGAGTACCAATAAAGGAAATCCAGATCTCCCGTTGTATCAAAACAGTCTCGGGAAAGCCTGGTTTTACTTCTGTAATGTTTTTAAAAAAATCAAAATTTATTCCGTCCTCATTGAAAACAATGAAACATATCGAGATAACGAACCGTATTTAAGATCAAAATTCCATAAAACAATACAAAACAGGAGCAGAGCACACACTGACCTCCAAAACATCAGAGGTGGGGTCATTTTAGATTTTATTTTTATTTCAATAATTCAAGAACACCAAAAAAATGAACATTCATATTGTATTTTTATCTGTAAAAAAATTCTCTTATTTAAAATTATATGTCAAAGTCCATCTTGAAGAAAAATATTTTATATTTCACTTACAGTGTGTATTAACGGAAGCCCGTTGAGGCCAGTGTCCTCTACAAAAATTTGAATTTTTCAATTAAAATTTGTATAAATTTTAATTGAAAAATTCAAATTTTTGTAGAGGACACCAGTCCAGGGAAAGAAATATTTTTTATTGCGTTTAAATGCAATAATTATTGCGTTTAATCGCAAAACTTTGCGTTTAATCGCAATAATCATTGCGTTTAAACGCAAAACACTTTGCGTTTAATCGCAAAAGATTGCGATTAAACGCAATCTTTTGCGATTAAACGCAATAATATTGCGATTAAATGCAATAATTATTGCGTTTAAACGCAACAATACTTTTGCGTTTAATCGCAATAATTTTTGCGAGTAAATATTTCTTCTTCTGAACTGGTCTCAACGGGCTTCCGTACTTGTTCATCCTTGCACATATATTTGTTCAAGAGTTCATATATAATAATTTTTAAAAAGTCCGCCACCATTTTATTTTGCCTCTTTCACTATGGTCACTAGTCGGCGAATTTAAGACATATCAATGAATTCAAAGAAGTCAGTACTTGGAATTCTTAATCAGAACTCTGAATACTAGTATGCGAATTTAAAAGGGGCAAAACAGTTTTGAAATGGCGAAAATAACACGTGACGAAAATAAAACAGTGTACAGTAGATGAATAAAAGGAAAACCTATTATCCTGATGCTTGCTAAGTCGACGTCATCGACAAAAAGAGTGTAGTTTCCAAGAAAGCTGTCATTATAGATGGGGATTGTACTGTATATCCAGTGATGAAAGAAATCACTTCCTCTAGATATCGTGGTGTAGAAGGCCTCAGTGGGAACCGCTCCGAGCCATTTGACGGAGATCGGCTTAGGATTGGAGATAATTGGAACATCCACGGTGATGACTGTAGGTAGATCTTCTACTTGGTACGTTGATTTGAACTCGAAACGTTTGTCCAAACGAGGTTTACCTGGAAAAGATAAATGTACGTACAAGTAATGCATGAATGAATTCCTCCGACTTTCTCACTCTGTCTCTCTCCCCCCCCCCCTTTTTTTTCTCTCTGAAATACTAGTATTATATGTATGATCAAGGCAATACTTACATATAATATTCATAGTGAATATTGTAGATTTGCTTGCAATTTCTTTCGACGTTCCTTCACATATGTAGGTATCTGTATCGGCACACTGGGTTTCTTTGATAGATGTGTAGTTTAACCACTGATCCACACTGGTCCCGAGAAGGTGGTTCCCTCGGTCCCTGCTGATGGTCACTGCTGGGACGGGATTTCCTTCCACGAGACACGATATTTGTAGGGTCTCATTTTCCGGTATGTCTGTTACATTAGCAGCATCTACTCCATTTATATATACCTTCGGTGTAGACAAATCTGAAACATTTAGAGAACAAAACAGATATTTATAAAAATAAATAATTTTATGGTTCTCAAATTGAAATTGAATTGAATTTGGCAAGCTTTACATCGGACATATTCCAAAAGACAATGAAAAAGACAATCAAAAGACCAAAATATTTAATTTCTTTTTAATAAAGAGCAAGAGCCATCTTATGCATAAAATGGCCCTGTACTTATATAAATTAATTAACTGTCACCCTCTTTCCCATTTCATAAATCAAAATAAAGTAGACACTTGGTGCTTTCATTTTCTATAATAAAATTTCGTTTTGAGAATCCAGATATTGGAAAACAGGTTCGAGAAATTGCAATGTTCTTGAAATTTGCAGAAAACATGCGTAATTGACTGCCTTCAGCAAAGAATTACATGTATAATATGAGCACAGCTCACGATCCACAAAATAAAACAAGTTTTTTGATCTTCAGAAACAGAGCTTTCGTTATGTATTTGCATATTTTGGATCAGAGGTTGTGCTTTATATGAAATATTGAAAAAATGCTTTAACTTTAGGTCAATTTCAATGGAATTTACAGGATATGAGGAAAATGACGCATTTTATGACGTCATAATGCATTGACTAGATGGAAAATTATGTCACTATTAATAGATACGTGGTCACCAACACTCCAAGTGATTATCGGCCGCAGCAGCGGCCGATCTATTTGTGGTTGTGTTAGAAAGAGCACATGGGGAAATGAGACGTTATTTTTTTATTACTTCAGTAAAATATTTCTGAAATGATAACAAGTAAAAATCATGAATGAAATATTTCAAAAACTTGCTTTAAACTTAGTATTAATTGTTTTTATTATATTTCAATTTCATTATCATTTCTCATCAGATAATTGATCATTTGTGGTTATAGAAAAAGAGTATGCAATAGATACTCCCCAGCCTGGGAGTGTATAAAATATGAAAGGAAATCGTCATGATTTTCCGGATAATGACATGGTAAAAGTGCATGGTGAATAAAATTGAAAAGTTTTTCAAACAAGTAAAAATTGTTTTGAATATATGCTCTACAACTGCAAGTGACACAAAGATGTTTTCTACATTTGCACTGCGGTTTCTTGCAGCATAGCCTACACTGCTGAAGCAAAGGACATTATCACGTGACCAGGGTATCAGCACGTGATTCATCCTGAGAGGCCTACATGTATCTTCATTTTGATGACAATTACTTCTTATCATTCATCATCGACTTTTTTAACATCGATGAAACTATTTATGAGCAAATATGGTAAAATGTCTATTTATTTTCTTTTATTTTAATTTTTTATTTTGCTTTGCAGACAGTCTGAAATAAAAATGGTCCAACTATTTCTTGACGTGCTTTCCTTGAATGGACGCTTTTAAAATTGTAAATGATTTTTTTAATGCTTTTTGTTTGCGGCCGATATGATGCTTTGCATCAATTTTACTTGTAAATACTGTATTTGCAACCTAAATTGAGCGGTTTTGATTTTTCAGAAATTCTCAGGGCCAAATAAAGCACAAAGTGGCTCTACCTCATTAAAGTAGTGAATTGGATTTGTTATCAGAATTTTCTTATTTTATCAAAAGCATATTTTGAATACATAGAAACACAGATATCCGTGTTAAATATCAGATACTAGTATATAGACAAGGTCCACAGTCATTACATATGTATCGATCATGCAATATTGCAGACATGTTTCTAGCTAATGTTATCGCAATGGTAGACGTTTCACCAGCTTTATTAACCTAAATAAGAAATCTACTTCTTCATCAAATCACCAAAAAAACCACGTACATTGAATGTCTAACTTTATTGTGATTGTTTCCACTTTGTCATCTAAACCTTCTGCAACACACTGGAACAATCCATGTTTGCTTCTGCGCACTTGTAGTTCCGGTAATAGCTTAGACGTTTGTCCTTTGGTTGTGATACTAACATACTTCCCTGATGATTCCATGTATTTCCATTGAACATTGCATGGTGGATTACAGTCCACTGCGCAGACATACGGACCAAAGATGTCATTTTCATGTAAAGTTATGTTGTCGCTGATCGGTGGTGATATATTCATGTCTTCTAGATCTGGACCGTCTGAATGTAATACGTGTACACGTATTTTCATCACATTACAATGGTTTGAATATTATTAGACAACAACAGTATAGAGTGAGAATTTCAACAAATCAGTTACTGGATTGAATGTTTCATCAATTCAAAAGAAAACATTGTCATATGGAATTCATGTAAGGAAGCCCATCAAGGCAATTTCAGAGAAAAAAATCTCTTTTATTGACTTTAAAGGGACATGAACACAGTTTCAGCCACCAAATTCCAATTTATTTTCCTTTTTTATGTTTACAAATACTTAACTAAGGTATCTTTAATGGTAATCAAAAATTTTAATTTCAGTTGTCGAGATGCAAGATAGATTAAGGGGTCCAAACCTTCGCTATGTAAACAGGATTCGTGCCATGTTTGTTTACATAGGTTAAATATATTTTCGTTCAAAACATATTAAATAAATAAGTCAATTTTCAATATGATTAGACAGTTTCTAGTGATTTCCTGAATCTTGTTTTGTTATAAATATTCTATTTGCTATATGTAAACAAAAAAGGGCACACATTTTGTTTACATATGAAGAATGTTAAGTTCTGTATCTCCTTTTTAAATCAACAAGGGATGTTCAAGTTTTTGCCGATCTTTTTAATCACCTTAATTTGGAATTGAAAACATTAAAATTGATTTTTTTAAAAAAATCAATTGAAACTGTGTCCATGTTTTTTAATGTTCCACGCAAAACTATTGCGTATAAATGAAAATACTGCCTTTTAACGCAAAAATTACTGCATTTTGTGGCAAAATTATATCGTTTATATGCAAAAGATTGTGTTTCATGCGATTAAACACGAAGTATTTTACGTTTAAACACAATGTATATTGCGAGTAAACACGAACATTACTGCGATTAAACGCAATGTTTTGCATTAAAACGCAATAACTATTGCGGTTGAACGCAAAATAAAATTTAACTCTCTATATAGACCTTAAAGGGCTTCTGTGGACATGAAAACTTGTACACGTAATTCATCTAATACATTTTGAAATTTGGTTGATTTTTGTTGCAAAATTTTATTTTATCGAATATATATAGGCTTACAAAGCCAAGCTCACTGTAATTTTTCTCAGAAAAAAAACCTTACAGAGTGGGTTGATTTGCAGCCGCTCACTCTTCACAGACATGAGTGTTTCCTTTGCTTGACATGACACATAGCTGTGTTTATCGCCCTTCTCTATGGGAAATCTGTAAATATTTCCCGTAGTTTCTCCCACCAGTGTGTTGTTGATGTACCACATGTATGACAAGGGAGGCAACTCTTTGTAATATGGTGGAACTGAAGTGGATTTACTGTAGCAGCTCACCGATGCGTTTTGTCCTGTTTTGAGGGTCAGATTTCCCTTTATCACGGGTTTAGTTGGATTTCCTAGGAATAAAAATAGGAATACGAAAAAAGTAATTTTCACATTTTTTGATATACATGTACACGTGAGAAAGTCAAGTCATCCATTTTACCTATAATTGCAAAATTTTGATATACATGTGACCGAAATAGAGAATATCCATGATACACTTTTAATTTTGCTTATGGTAATACTTTTTCTTTTATTATAACACTTTTTTTTCACAAATGTTCGAATTTACTTTAATTTCAAATACGTGAAATAAAATTTAAAAAATGCAAAACGAACTACTTTAATTTTGATCTAAAATTTAAGCTTTGTTAACTGTAAGGAAACAAAACGGTCATTTTTAAAAGAAAAGATTGTTTGCCCTCACCCTACAAACTGGCTAAGTACATACATGTATGACCCGATTTGAAATTTGTTAAGCTCCAGGAAATGGTCCTTCTTTTTTTCTTTCAATTCCTATATGAAATTTTTATCATCTCAAGAACAAGTATTTTAATTTTATCTGAATATATTTTGAAAATTCAAATGATTTTTATAATATTTCCCTACATTGTACATACCGACCCACTTTCTTTAAACTTTGAGCCAGGAAAGGGCAAACAAATATTTATTTTAAAGACAGCCTAACTGACAACCTTTGACCACAAGAACCACGCCCCCTCCACACCAGGACTCATTGTTTACAGTACATCCGGAATAGAATCCAGCGTCTCTTGTCGTAATGTTCCTTATCTGGAAATTTATGTCTCCGAGGTCAAAAGATGTTTTGGGATAGACGTATTTCGATGGATCATATATTGATATATTATCTTCATTTGCAGTAAGAATTGGCCTTTGTAAATCGTCGTATGTGTGGGTTATTTCATACATTTCGCTCAGAGGAAAGGCATCATTAGTCCAAGATATATTCTTCGTGTCTCCTTCATTAGATTCCGTTACATGAACTGTGGAATCAAGAAATCAATCGATAAAATATAGACCGCCAGTTGTTCATATTATGAATCGATTTTCTTTTCTACTTTAAATTAAATAATTTTTATATATGGGAAAATGGAAGTTCTTTACACTCTACAATACAAAAAAGCATCTCTTATTTTTCAAATATATATTTTTCTTTGTCTAACTTGCGTTTAGTTAAATAGTTTATTATCTTATGTAGAAAAGGTGCTAAAAAATAAAAGATTTTGTTTATCAAAGTATGCATACAAATCATCTGACAAGTTTTATAATATTCCTTTGTCAGAAAAAAGAAGAAAAAGTCAAAAGCACACAATGTAAAATTGTAGCAATATTAGTTGTTTCCAGACATACCTTGGATATTGTAAAAGACTCGTGTACCATTTTCCTTATAATCGACGACTCGGATTTTAGTAGAGTTGTACTGCAAAATATCTTCTATAATGTATTGTTTTCCTGTAAATATCATCCATTCACTTTGTCGAGGTCTTACCATCAGATAAGTCAGAGGCTTTGAGGAGTCGGTAGGAATCAGCACCAGATCTCCGTTTTTATATTTTGCCGATAAATATAAATTATTTTCTACTGAAACGAAACATATGGAGATAAAGAAGAGTATTCATGATCAGAATTCCATAAAACAATACAAATTAGGAACAGATCAAACAAGGACCTACAAAACATCAGAGGTGGGATCAGGTGCGATAGAGGAATGAGCATCCCCTGCCGACCGGTCACTCTTACCATGTTCTGCTTGTCATGATCAATACATATATAGGACAATACAATTGCAATAAATGTACAGGAATACAATTCAATATATATTTTTAATCATAATATGTTCTGGAGTTATGAATTTAAGCATGAGACACTGCATACTGTATCAATATTTTCATGTTCAAATGTTTTTAAATAATTATCTTACATACGTCACTTGCAGAGTTTTGAAATTTAATCAAAACTATTTTATAGGATATTGCGTAAAATTACATCCTCATACGTTCAACAAAATAGAAACGTGAAGTTCACATTAAATATTAAGTAATCATCTAACCTATTTAAATCCCATGTACTTTTCAGAGCATTTATTATCATGCCCATTTATGAGGTTCGAACACTTCCCAGCGAGACATTATCGAAAAGGCTATAAAAGTTACAAGCAAAGATGTTTAGTATTTAAAATCAAGTCCATAATGAAGAAAAATCTAATTTAGATTGAATTTATAATTTACATTTAAAATTTGAAAGTATGAAAGTATTATAAACATAATGTTTAATGTGGCATAAACCTATCTAAGTGTAATTAGAAAATACAATAAAGCATCTTTTCAAATCAAAAAATCAAATTGTTTTCTGTGCTTGTAAAATATGTATCCATCAGGTAATGATTATATTTTCAATTATTGCACTGAAAAATGTGATGGATATATCTGAACAAAATATTAGATAAATGTTTCTAGAACAATTCTGCTTCTGAAAGGACTTTGTTTCAATAACCAATATTTGCCCCCAAATAAAACTTTGACGAAGTAAAACTTAATTATGTTCTAAAACTAGTACATGCTGACTTCAAACCACTGATGATGTTTTGAAAATGACGTAAATGTATAATTTCCATGATTTCTACAGAAACATGCAAAAATATAACGTCAATATTTTGAGTAAAAATCTTTTGTTGTCGATTATCAATTTCAATATTGCGATATAATGATGTAAAATTTGATATATCAATTAAATATGCAAATATGTGTGTGTAAACCTCACAAAATGCTATAGCTAAAACTGTTGGAATATTGTCCATTTTGTCCTATTTTTAAAAAATAATGCAAAATCCGACTAGTTTGCACGCATAAAAACAAAAATTGTCAATAATCTACTTTGAAACTATAATATGTTTTGTTTATTTATATTTTTCATACAATTTATACAATACAACACATTTTACATGTAAGAATGTTTTAAATTTGATTTTTGTGGGGGCAAAGATATGCAATATACCGAAAATAGTTCTTTCTGAAACAGTTAAAAGACTTGTACGTATTAAAAAAATGATCAATTATTTCAATTTTCAAAGTGTAAAGGAATTAGTATAAATGTTTTAGGCAAACTTATATGAATGAATGAAAATATTGGTACATATATTAGAAATTAGAAATCAACATCTGTAATTAAGTTAGATTTGTTTGAACTTGACTATGGTATAAAAAAAGTCCCCATTAAAGACCTTTACATTCTGACAAGACAATCCATTGAATTTCATGGGAAAAATGTCTTCAGAAAGTTTGCTCTCTTATCCGAGGGATATTACACCTTAATATCATGTCTATTCATGAGTTTCAAACACTTCACTTTCCCTTGTTAAGTAAAAAAAGAGAAAGCTATGAAAACTACAAGCAAAGATGTTTGGTATCTAAAAACTAGTCCATAATGTAGAAAATTCTAATTTAAATCTAAAATTTAAATATGCACTCAAAAAGTATTTAAACAATTAAATTCCGTAAGGAGGGCATCCAATCACAAAACCCCTGAATATTCTGGGGGTATATATGCCTAGGAAGAGAACACCCATATTGAGTGGTCACACAGTGTGAGTTCTATATACTGATCAGGTTGATGTAACATTTTGCAATTAAGTTAAGAAACACTGTTATTGGTGTATTTCAACACTAAGCTGAAGGTTTTCTATATAGAATATGTTTTGTTCTATACCATGCCAATTCATTCCAATACGAGATAGCTTGTGAACGACATTATTCAGACCAATAATCCCTGTTAAAGATACTAAAAGTATTTTAAAGACAGTAATAAATATGTATACTTACAACTGAGAGCAGCTATAACTAAACATTACATGCAGAAAAACAAAAAATATAACTTTGAAATATTCCATAAATTCTTTAGTTGTCGAATATCAATAAAATGTTTTTTAAGAAATAAAAATTTATAACTCTGACCAAAGAAATTATGTGTAAACCATCACAAAATGTTTAGAAAGATGCACTCAGAACTATATGCGAGTTATATATTTCTTGACATCAAAATCACCATTGAAGGCAATTTTTTAAAATATTTTTACATAAGAATTTTGAAAGAACATCAAAAGGAAGTTTCAAAGTGTCATAAGATTTTTTTAAATAATTTGGATTTGGAATGGCATTTACAAGTAACCAATTAATCATACAAATTTATTTCTTAAGTGTTATGAAAACTTAATTTATTAATGTTATAAAGAACTCCTTCATTTACATCGTATGGTATTCGGTGAATTTAAGTAATAATACTTAAATTATATCTGCTTTACTTTCAATTCAGGCCAAGTGCTTGTTCATTTTTAGAACGTGTAAGAATAAATCAACACATTGCTATAAATTAATACCTTCCTTGTAATAGCGACATCCTTTTTAAGTACTTTGTTTTAATAATTAAGGAGAAAGATTATCAGAAAACTCATAAACATAATTAACTTCTTCCTTATGTTTGTAAGTATTCAGGAAGACACAATATAGCCTAGGCATTTTTTTCTTTTAATGATTCAGGAATGATTTTTTTAGTAATAATATACACTTATCCACTGGTTGTGCGTGGGATAGCTCTTTTATCAAACCCGCGAAAGAAACTATGTCTCTCAAGGGTTGCTGAAATGATATCCCATTCACAACCAGTGGATAAATGTTTTATTATACTAATGAATATCATAATTGCTGAGGGTTGGATTTTTTAGGAGTAAGAAAATACTGCAAGAATAAGCTGAAATCTTGATGACGCCACAATGCAACTGAAATCATTATGACATCATCAGTCTATAGATTTATCGGTGAAAGTCAAAATTGGCGGCAAAAATTGCATGAAATTTATCCGACGGTTGGATAGCAAAAACTATACCCCGGGGCATAGCTTTCTATGCGTGGAAATTTTCAAACCATGAAAAAAAGTTATTTTACCTTCTTAACTTTATATAGGAAACATTTCAATAGAAGTATAATAAAAGTTATTATTAAACTTCAGAAATTATATTATACATCAGTATAATAAAACGCTTATCCACTGGTTTTGAGTGGGATAGCTCTTTTATCAAATTCTCTAATTGAACATAAACATTTTAAGAGAAGTAAAATAAAAGTTATTATACTTCTGTTAAAATGTTTCGTATATAAAGTTCAGAAGGTAAAATAGCTATCTTTTATAGTTCACGCATAGCAAAGCTAAACCCCGGGGTTTAGTTTTTGCTATCCACCCTCGGGAAATTTTCATGCAATTTTTGCCGCCAATTTTGATTTGCAGCGATAAATCTATTGACTGATGATGTCATAAGATTTTTAATTATTTTTGCGTGAAATGCTTTTAAAATATATAATTCGTGTTATTATACTCCAAAAAAATTCAAACGTCAGAAATTATATTATACATCAGTTAAGCCCTCGGTGAACAGTTCCCTGTCGCAGATTTGATAAAAGAGCTATCCCACTCACAACCAGTGGATAAGTGTATAATATATGTTGCCAAACGAATGAAGAGAACGTACAACAGTCTGTATTAAGAAAATGATTTTTTTTAATTTGATTAATGAGAAAACTAAGGTAAAATATTTAAAACCACTTGTTTAGTGGAGCTTATTTTAAAATCTGAAAAGAAAAAAAAATAACAGAGAATCTTTTAAGGGGAGGAGTAACTGGAGACAAATACGTGATATTATAAATATTACCTTTTTCAGGAAAAACATTCGAGGGCTTCTTCATTCCATCAAAGAATAAAATAATATTTAATTTGCAATTTTTGGGCGAAAGTCATGAATTTAAAATTTGAGAAAATGTATGGATTGGAATACAGTTGATTGCAATCACTTTGTTCCTATTTTCTTTGTAGAAGATTGATCCAAAGTGACAACTGCAATAAAACTTTGAAAAATCAAATAATATTAAAAAATAAACGTGACCTACATGCACGTATACCATCTTTGGAAAACAAATGTATATGAATTATTTTTTTAAAAATATCAAAATAAACTGTATGTTGGGGTTTGTCGATCACTGTATGTTATGAATTATACCGACGCTGTTATTATGTTACTTTTCTGTACTCATTTTCAATCTATCTGCGCCCAGTCGGCAGATCGTTCGCCTTGCAATCAGAAGGTTGTGTGTTTGAATCATGGCCACTACAGACCGAAGATATAAAAAAGGTTGTAAGCGATCCTTCGTCAAGCGGTTAGCCCTTTTAAGTTAAAGTTTCGGGTCCTTCGGATGAGACCTTAAAACCGAGGTCTCGTGTCACGGTAGGTGTTCACACGATATAGATCCCCCATTTGCCGTAAGTGCCGAGTAAAGGCTTGAAGCTCTTCACCGGTATGTGGTTACGTCTCTATATATGAGGGAAAACATTTCAAACCGGGCGTAAAACAACATGCATTCAATCAATCAATCATTGATTCCACAAAATATAGAAGAATGTAATTGGTAAATTTATATTTAATTAATTAGTTAATATTAGTAATAGAACAATATGGACTAAAACAAATTCTATATACTAGTATTGCCTTTTGGAAAATGCTAAAAATATCTCATAAAATGCACATTACAGTGTAATAAAGTTAATGTTATGAAACTTTCGTTATCAAAATTATTTCAATCTCTTTAAATAGAATTTAAGAAAGGTAGTGCACCGAATCTTATAATACGTATACATGTACTTAATCACGTTAACGCAATGTTATATGCTTTATATTAAGTTGTTATCAATTACACAAACTTTACAAACTCACGAGTTCTTACGCACTTGAAAAGTAACTGTTGATATGTTTTATGATTAGTTACCATTTAAATATTCTAGAAATGACTTAAATCAATGTCATTACAAGAAACATTGTAAATGGAAAGATCATATTCATTCGCTCTAATACTGTAGATTCCTTGTTTTACGCGAGTACTTAATATAGCGAATTGGCCCAGTGACGCCAAATTGCGGGAACAATAATTCACGAATTGGTGATTTAGCTAGAGATTTTACATACATTAAAGCACAATAAAAATAAAAGCGAGTGATTTTATTTTGCCAGCGATGCTTCTCGCGTAATTACACGATAATTTCTCCTCGCGTGTATTTAGGAACCTATAGAATACGACCCATTATTATCAGACCTATTTTTGTACTCATATGGAGCAGAATCTGTGTGAAAACATCTATTAAGACACATTATAAAGAATAACTTCATTTCATAGGTAGATTTGAAATATCCATGTGAACTTGAAAGAAGAGACTCCAAAGAGTCTAACAATTCTGTTTCATATTAGGATATTTTACAAGATAAAGACGTTAATGGTTACCTAACAGCTTACCTTAGAGACAAAGATGATTACTTCAAATTTTCTATTGTCAGTTTTTTTTTACTTCTGTTGCAATATACCCTTTTCTCCTGTATATAGGGTTTGTACTTCCATGCTGATTTGATTCTCAAGAGCATGATCTACGTTCATTCAGTGTTTTAAACGAGGGAAATTTTTAACCAAGAGTTTGATGAAACAAAGATATCAACAGTTTTATTGAAGTCATCATTTTGCATTTTCCATGGTCGACACAATGTTTTTGTCAGTAAATACAATATATTACCAGGTCAATCGTTAACAGACATTTTTCATACTAATTGTTAGGCGATTTTTTTTAACTCTTGTACCTTTATTCCCCCTTTTTATCTTTATTAATAAAATAATAAGAATAAAAGGTAATATGTCCATCACGTCAAAAAATTGCTTTCCCAGATTCACATCCATTTTTCTGATTGAATGTAAATTGAACACACACTGTGAAATGTAAACATTAACATAAACAGAGTTTGGGTCCTGTTTACCAAAAAATAAAGCTTCTTGGGTGCATCAAATAAGTCAAAATCTGCACACATTATTGAGCACAGACTGGCAAAACTGGAAAATTGATTTTTCTATCTCAAATCTCTTCTTTAATTTTTTTGGTATATAACTTTAATATTTTTATCAATGCCTCTATTTTATTCTAGAATTTGGAAGTGAGGAAGTAAAATTAAATGCATTCTTTCTGAATCATTGCAATTTAATGCAAAAAGAACGTATGAATCGTTTTTACAGATGATCTCTGAAATGGTAATTGTGATGCCATAATTAAGCTTGTGCATTTCATCGAATTTTCTTGATAAGGTGCAATAGACATCTATTTTCATTGAAAATTTCTTTAAGAAAACATAAAAGACATGTAAAGCCCAAGAAGATTTTGAATCATTTAATTTTCAAAGCATTTCGTACAATTTATCAAAATATTGAATAGGTCAATGCTGTGGACACTATTATATTTAAGAAAACAACCGCATGATTGAGTTATTCTACTCGTTTTTCTGCATAAAACTAAGGAATCTACCAAATTATTGACGTCATATTTCCAGCATGGTCTTCATTCATGCCATATTCGAAAATGGCTTATCATATCCCATTTTCTAACTCACATTAAATCCAATTTCTTGTACATTTTAAGGACGGTAAATTTCTTAGGGACAATAAAGTGAAAACTGCACCTTTTTCTGTAAATCAAAAGCCATTAAAATTCTCAGTTTAAATTCAATTAACGATAGTTTAATCGTGTACATTTATCCCTACCCAGATAGTTCTGTAGACAACGATCTTGTTATGTTCTGAAATTACAAAATATCATAATCATTCTATATCGGATGGGATGTAGAAACGAAATCGCATTTGTTTGTTTTTGAGTTAGCATTAAGTTAATACTGTGTTAAACATAGCCTCAAATTTACATGTATTTATGCTCATTGCGAAGGGGATGCTCAACCCTGCGGTTACCTTGCTACAATTTACTGTATTTGTTTCTCGTGTAAAAGGGGAAACTAACGACCGAGCAGGAACCAGCATCAAACATAGCCTCAAATTTACATGTATTTATGCTCATTGCGAAGGGGATGCTCAACCCTGCGGTTACCTTGCTACAATTTACTGTATTTGTTTCTTGTGTAAAAGGGGAAACTAACGACCGAGCAGGAACCAGTCCCATATACATTTACATGTATCCAACGAAGAATATTAATCGCAGACACTACAACATCTCCGAATGCTATATATCATCGATTCTTGAATCAGTTTCGTCTGTCAAGAGGTTAAACCCGCCCTGAGTCAGCTAACTAAAGTCGTATGTTACTATAATGTACTTATATTAAAATATCCATATGCTGTACATTGTACAAAAATATCAGGTTCCTTATTCTCCTTCAGCTTTAAAGCCACTGAAAATTACAGTAATTTCCATATAGATTGGACTTTCGTTTCCTGTTGAATTAGCTTTCAATGCAATCTACTGGCATGGCGAATGGTCTCCTTTATCTAAAAATATGACATAAAACACATCTAATCATACTCTTTTTCAGTTTTATTTTAAACATTGTGTTTTATATACATGTTTATGTCTCAATGCAGAGGTGGGTCCTTTTGTTTTACCTGCAAGAGCAAAATCGTTAGAAGAAATTGTATGTCCGACTAATAATAATTACTGTGCGAAGAAATAACATTTAGTTTGAAAAGCTGTTATAGATACATAAAAAATGAAAAAAAAAATGTTAGGTGATTTATTTGAAATTACATCACAATGAGACCACGCAGATAATTTACCGTATTCATTACATACGTAGAAGAGTTTATCCGACCCAACTATCGTCTGTTTTACAAGCACAGACAGGGCAACCGTCCACCATTTTGTGACCTTGAGGGCAATAGATGTCACACATGACTCCCGAGCAGAGGTTCTGTGTTACTTTAGTTATAGGTTCCTTTGTTGTGGTAGTGTGTTCTAAATAATAAAACAGTTTTTTTTTTTGTCAAAGGCTCAAGAACATTTCAATGAAAATGGAATACTTTTCTAACATTGAAAAAAGGTTATCTCTATAAAAAAAAAAAGCGGAAATCAGAGAATCTTATCACAAGGAGTTTGATATTGAAATTGCTACTGACCACCTCGGCATCGACAGGTAGGACAGCCATTCTCGTCTTGTACATTTCCAAATGGACACCAGATCATACACACGGGTCCACAGAGGACAGCGTCCAAGTTAGCGGACTCCACTGTAGAAAAAAAAACAGTTGCTTTTTATAGCCTAAATTTTTACGATTGATGCACAGTTCAACTGCTTCTACTATAGAATTAGAAATAATTGTATTAACTATGTACATATATTAAGAACAGTACAAGTGATGTCTAGTTAGCATGGCTCGACTATAGAAACAGGAACACGTGTATTATAAAGCTAGAAAAGTACGAGTGATGTCTAATTACATGTAACCTGACTCGACTGTAGAATAAACAACGCATGTATAACAAGAGCAGTAAGAGTGATGTCTAACTAATCTGACTCAACTGTAGAATAAACAACCCGCTGTAAGCAAGCAAAATACTACTTGTAAATTTAACTTCTGGTTACCTAGAATTAACAGAACAGAATTAAATTCGTCCTCTGTCATAAGTTAAATTCTTTAAACAATGCAAATACGAAACAATAATACATATATAAATTTAAAAGAATATTAAAAAAAAAATTGTAAAATGTGAAGATACCGCTGAATACACAGAGTATTCCGAGAAGTGCGACAAAAAGAGTTCTCATTGTTTTAGTTGAAATTTATGATGTATACAATGTTCTGTCTGTTATCGGGAAGATTTCATATCCCTTAAGTATCAAACAGAGATAAGGCACTGGAATTTTGAGGGAGTGAAGATATGGGGTATTTAAGTACAAACCATATCGTAATGCCGAAATCAAGGAAGCTTTCCAAAATCATATAATGAATAGCTCATGTCATACCCGGTTTAAGCTACACGCAAAACTTAATACAATAAGAGAGGATAATTCACTTGTCATTGGTTAATGGTATTTTATATTTTCTGACCTTTCATTTAAAGGATCAATCGGGTAATGCCAAACGGGTACTATACATGGATACACAGTGTGTATCTCATATCTTTGTTATCCTAACACTTCCCCACTCTGTAACGTCATTACGCATGAATACATCATTACCAGTATTTACCCTGATAAATATAGAATTTTTTTTTATTATATTATAACAACAAATATTTACCATGTAAAAAGTTTAATTCACCTTCATGTACAAAAATGTCTTAATCCGCCGACCGTGGAACACAGAACAAAAGTCATGCCTTTCTTTGACCTCTACAGATCCTTAGATAAGAAGATCAAAGATTAGGGTTCATTTCTGCATGGCTATATACTTATTACTATGTGCAGATTACCAGGTCTTCATCATTAAGCATGATAATCTTAGTACATTAAATCCTAAAATATACAAAAAAACAAACGAAAATATTTCGCATTTTATCTTCGGTTAAAAAAAAAAAACTATTCCCCGTGGAATGTTTTAATTGTAACTCATCCAGTTATTTGAATTTTTCCTTCTATTCTTTTTATTGCTTGCTGCATTAATTTATTATTGGAATACCATATTACATGTTTCCTTGATCTAGGCCAAAGAGACGATTAAAAGATGTAAAAGGTCACGTGGCTTTGAATGCCAGGCATGACGACTCCCTTATCAAAATGGCGGGCTTGGGGCTTTCTGTTAGAATGAACGGTAAGAAAATAAACATATGTCCATGTTTACTCACATAAATGAACCGTTCAGGTTATTTTAGGTAGTTCGAAAATATTGGACTTTTATCCCTTTATAAAGGGTGCAAATAGAAGGTGTTTAATAGTAGCAGCGCTTTGAAAATATAATAATAAAGTTTGTAATGGTTTGCTAGAGGTAATTAAATCGTAGATATGTATGTGAATTTTTGTGTATTTAGATTATATATGCTAGTAAAATATAAGAATAATATTTAACAAAAAATATTTATGATGTCATTTCGGAGTAGTTCCGCTCTGAATCTTACAATATCCTACTTTTAATGATAATATCGTCGACCTTATTGTACTCGAGCACAACACAGACAATTTGAGATTTAATGGTTAAAATATCTATGTTACAATGCAAACACTTATTTTGTCTAATTATGAGAGTGAAGTAGATGACAATACATAGCAGACACATGCTGAAAAAATACTCACTTAAAAACTACAAAGACAAGAAAATATTTTCTGTAGTGAATTACGTATACCTTTTATGAAATAACATGCATAAAAATGAGAAATGATCAATGTTAGCAAGTTTTATCAAAGGTAAACAATCTTGACTGACTTTTTTTATACTAATAGTTAAGGTATTCAATCCCGATAGGAACAAATCCAATGAAATTGAATGCAGAACAGATACCTGTATGTAGGCATTGAATACTCAGTTTATTTAGACATACTTCCCATATATTATTATTAGTAGTATGTATAGTTGGTATGTCCTAATTTATGACATTTTATTTTGATAAGAGTTATCTCCCCTTTTTTTAATTAATGAAAAAAATCAATTAAAAAATTTTGCCCATAGACTTTAATGCAATCTTTGTTAATTAGCTACTGCTTAATTAATGAAATTTTTAAAACTTTCTCGCGGGCATGCAATCCTTTCCCACTTTAAAATGCTTTACTATAATATCAGAGTATTATCATAATAAAAATTGCAGTAAATATAAAAATGGAACACATTTTATGAGTTTGCAGTTTTAGTCTGACAAAAGATAACGAACGCGAGATCTACAGATAAAAGTAATTAAAGAGGCTGATCAATAGGAATTAAACTTCTAAATCGGACTGTCCCACGAAATAGATCATGGGAATGTAGCTGCTACTTACTTGTTTATGAAGAGATGTATTTGGTTAGGGTAAAAAAGGAACCAATAGTATTGAAGTGACCAGAGGTCAGATATTTGAAAAAATTAGCTACAACAAATAATATTTAAAGATTATGCAAAAGGTTGGAAATTATTTTAAAAGTGCATTAGAAATTTTAAAAGTACTCAAGATCAGAATAATAGTAATTAAAATTCAAATAAGAATTTCAAGTAATTATTGCAAATTTTGAAGGAGTTACAAATATGGAGATGTAAATCGACAAAGGTACACCTATTATAAAATGCCTGGCCGGGATAGACAGGACTTCAGTGGAAAGCTGAATCTTGACTGTCTTGGTTGCACTTTATACAGGTTGGGTAACATCTCCACTCCCCAACCATGGCCGCCGCTCTGGTCCACAAATTTAAAAGGAATTATAGAATAAAAGAGATAGCGCAATTGAGCTATCCTGGTTCCTCCACAAGACAAGCGAGTTTACGCGAGTTCCTGTCAATGATATAATCTGCTTATAGGGAAAAACAAAGAAGAAAAATTTTCCTTTTATTTTTTTTTTTATAATAAATGGTGGAGAAATGGGGTCAGATTCAGAAGGAAGGAAATAGCCTTTAACCGTTCTCTAAGTCAACCCCCCCGACGAGGATTAGTGCACAATCCCGCTGGATTTTCGAACAGAGGACATGAAAACAGGCGAGACACAGACCAGAGCCGTCAGACGACCGAGGCCAAAACACTTGACACTCCCTGGGCAGAACAAACCTAGGACTAACACGATTTAACAAACATGTGCCGACCGCGAGACCATTGAAACAAACGAAACGAACTAAAACTCGTGTGCTAATAGGACATTCGATACGTCTACTACCATCCTGTCCTTTGGTGGCCGAAAAAAGAAACAATTTTATATACGTATTTTAAAATAACGACTATAATTCTGTGCCGGAACCCCTCCTTCCGAATCCAAGTGCCGATGTGAAAACGAATTATCCAATTGTTGGACAATTTACTTTTCAGTCCTACGAGTAGAGTAAGACTTTGAAAAAAAAAATTAAGTACAGGTAGGATAGCATTTTTTTTTTTCAAAATGTCTACCTTTGTTTTGCAAGAATATTTTTTACGACGACGGTATTTAGAATGTTGTCACATTGTTGATAATTTTTTTTTACATGGGCAATGTTTTATGAATTACCTGAAAATAAGATTGATGACGCTTATAAGCAAATATAAAGCGACTTGCAAAATAAGAGATGAAGTGTTCTTCAAGTTATATTTATGTGACGAATTCAAGAGAAAAAAAACCCTATAGATGGGAAGGGTCAGAAAAGTAAAGGAAACCCCGTTGACCATTTGTATAGGTAAAGCACGTTACAAAAATAGATCCTAAATGGGAAGGGCCTTGAACGATAGTAAAGGAAAACCCTGTTTCCATTCATTTAGGTTGAAAATAAAGTCACAAACTCTTGCGAGAGGATCTAATTAAAACCTAAAATGGTAATTTTAAGGGCCTTGAAAGATAGTAAAGGGAAACCCTTATACCATTCAATTAGGTTAAAGGTTAAGTCGAGACTTTATAATAGTCAACCAAGCATGAGGTTTTGGGAGAAAAATTTGAAGGAAAATGGTCGTAATGGAAGGGATAAAGTTATTTCCATTCTTCCGAAATAATTACGAGAATCATTCCTCCTTTCATATAGACTTAACTTTTAAAGATTTTGTTTTCAAAGCAGATAGAGTATTCGTCGGATGTAGGACTATGCATTAGATTGAGATTATGTATAGTAAATAAAGTGTATACCTTGCGGTACTGTGAAAAACATATTTTGTCAATTGTGAAAAAGGGGTACATTCATCGACAATTATATTTTTGGAGTGTTTTTGAAAAGTGTCTCGATCCATACAGCGAAAGTGTTTATATTCTATGAATTGTCAAAACATTTGTTTTTGTGTAACAAAATTTTTTTTCGTTTGTTATCAATCTTTTTTGAAAAAAAAAAGGTGCCACCACTGCCCAGAGAGAAAGAAAAAACCAAGACAATTGTACATAGTGTTTTTCGTATCTTTTGTGTCTTTATATATTGATTTTTTTAGAAAGTGTATTTTGTAACTTTATACCTTTGTGTGTGCATTTAGATAACATTATATATAGTTATATTTGTCTATGTATTTCCTTTGTTAAAGCCATCTGAAAAAAACGTTAATCGTGTTACTTTTTAGTCGGCGCGATTATTTCAAATAAATATCACTTTGAACATTCGGTTTTATGTGAAATTCGCAGCAAGACAGATTATTTCGTATCATAATCTCTTTAAACAAATCTTGGGGACAAGATTTTCGACAGTAGGGGGATTTATCATAATAAAAATTGCAGTAAATATAAAAATGGAACACATTTTATGAGTTTGCAGTTTTAGTCTGACAAAAGATAACGAACGCGAGATCTACAGATAAAAGTAATTAAAGAGGCTGATCAATAGGAATTAAACTTCTAAATCGGACTGTCCCACGAAATAGATCATGGGAATGTAGCTGCTACTTACTTGTTTATGAAGAGATGTATTTGGTTAGGGTAAAAAAGGAACCAATAGTATTGAAGTGACCAGAGGTCAGATATTTGAATAAATTAGCTACAACAAATAATATTTAAAGATTATGCAAAAGGTTGGAAATTATTTTAAAAGTGCATTAGAAATTTTAAAAGTACTCAAGATCAGAATAATAGTAATTAAAATTCAAATAAGAATTTCAAGTAATTATTGCAAATTTTGAAGGAGTTACAAATATGGAGATGTAAATCGACAAAGGTACACCTATTATAAAATGCCTGGCCGGGATAGACAGGACTTCAGTGGAAAGCTGAATCTTGACTGTCTTGGTTGCATTTTATACAGGTGAGATTATTTTGTAGACTTGCGTACGTTTTGATCAAAATTATTAAATTTTCACATGGCTTATTTTATTAACAAGTTAAACTTTTTATATTATAAGTAGTTATATTTCTAATAAGGTTTAGTATATTTTGTAAAATTATTTATTGTAATCATTAGGATTACAAATAGATTGTTTAATTTAATAAAAGAGTGGAAAGCTGAATCTTGACTGTCTTGGTTTCATTGTATACAGGTTGGGTAACATCTCCACTCCCCAACCATGGCCGCCGCTCTGGTCCACCAATTTATAAGAAATTATATAATAAGAGAGAATAGCAGGAATTGAGCCATCCCGGTACCTCCACAAGACAAGCGAGTTTACGCGAGTTCCAGTCAATGATATCATCTGCTTATAGGGAAAAACAAACAAAGAACAATTTTCCTTTTATTTTTTTTTATAATAGTATTATGTACTTGATGGACATTTAAGGGTAAGGTTTTGGTCCCATTTGGGAGGGAAATCCTTACACCATTATTTACACAATGAACTGTCGAAGCATATTCCTTTTATTTGCTGATCCTGACAAATAGCACACGTTGGGTGTGACCGGTCACTGATCCATGGCATCCAATCCAACCTGTGGTGTTTTGGAGGTCCATTTTTGCTCTTCCTACAAATTCACATTGTTAAATAAACTTTCTGGCTTAATTTCCATTATTTATCTTCAAATATTGTATTAAATAAGCTTTTTGCAATCCACATGTGTTGCATAGAACTTTTGTTGACAGGTGTATATATGTTGAATGAGATCTCTGTGATGATGGTATTGTTATTGATGATTGGCAATGTGCAAGGATTTCTCGCAGACCCTGACGCACAAGGTGAGTGTTCATTAAATTTTGCTTTTACATTTTCTGTTCACGTTTATCTCTTGTGAATTATGAAGCTGAATATCTCAGAACATATTTTACTGAGATAAAATACCTTGATAAATTCACTGATGATATGAGATTGTAAGAGTTTAATCAAGACATGTTGATATTGTTAAAAAAATGTAATAATCTTTCCTCCCATTAAGAGTGTTTTAGTTTATTTATTTTGTTGTTTATTGCATCTTAGATTAAAAGAAAGTTTAAGAAGTTGATAGTGAATGAGTTTAGTAAAAAAAACATAGGGTGTTAAAAAGGGGCGTATTTTAAAAATAATTGATGATTATTTTACACATACAGAGAGAGAGAGAGAGGGGGGGGGGGTAAAGAGAGATAGTTTGGTTTAGAATTTATTCTGTTTCTGCTTGCTTGCATGCGAAAAAGGTGAAAGAGGGCAAGGAGAGGCATTCGTATCTTAACATCTTTACACTATGTCTTTGTATTAAATTTTCCGTATACTGTAGCTGTTGGCCCGCTCTGTTATTCCTGTTTACATGTCGCACATCAGAGGGACTGTACACGAATCGTCCAATGCGGCCCTCATGAGGTGAGCTGATATACAAAGAAAATAAATCCACCTTCTAAAAAAAGTCATTTTCTACACACACTTTCTTTAATGTTTGTCTAATAATTCACTCATTTAATTCTAATATTTTTTTCATTTTAGAAATGTTTTGGCAGAAGGTTTATTACACCAGATGGTCTGACATATTTCTCATCTGGTTGTGAATCAATAGCCGTGAGTACTATCAGTACTTTGTAAATAATGTAACTTATCAAGCAATAAATAATATTGTAAATAAAAACAGCATGTTGAGGGGGTATTGCATCTGCAATAAACAAGACTTCAGATAAATACTTTTACCAAATTGACACGACAAATAGTTATTTTTATGACAAATATTTAGAATGACATTTTTTCTTCAAAATGACTCAGTGCACTGGAAATCCTCTACATAAAATCGACATAACGATTTCGCTATGTTTACATTCCTTAAGAAGATTTTCATTACATTCGATTTCTATATATATAATGGAAATAATTACAATTCTTTAAATAAAAGGGTTGTGCGGCACGTCGCTCGATCCAGCAAGACGATTTGAACACTCTGTCTAAGGGTGTCAGGGCGGCTAACGGTGACTTACAGGCGTGTGATCAGTGTTGTGATGGCAGCTACTGCAATCTTCAGCTGTGTGATGTTCCCATAAGTATGAATCTTAAGTTTTTCCGAATGAATATTATGATAAATGAAAAGTGCGACAACTACAAATTGAAAATTTTAATGTGTTTTTTTTTTATGACATTTACTGAGGAGACATGAATATCAAAATAATTCGGCCTTTAAAAACTGCCTAGTTATAATTTTAGAATAATCTTATAGAAAAACGGTTTTATTCTTCAAAATCGATGCTAAGGATAACAACATCGGCGTTGTCGATTGCATAATATATTTTGCTATGTTTATTAAAGTTGTGCAGAGCTATGATCGATTTTGTCGAAGTGCTTTTACGTTATTTATTTATTTTCTTTTACATTTTCTAAATTTAATAACGCAAACTTTTTAGATATTTTTCTTTACATTTCCTATACTGAAAATATTCGAGTCTTCAGTTCATTGAAAATTACATATTGTTTATATTCTGCTTGTAGAATTAAAACAGCGTTGTCTTTTTTGTGATGACGTCATTAACCCCGAAGACTGCAATCTTTCCTTACAATGTGACGAAGATCAAGTAAATTATTTCTTTTTGTTTTCTGATTTTATCTTATTTTTTGGAAGTAACTGCATTTTGGACTGGTTTAAGGATGTATATTGGATTTACAAATCCATCATTTAATAATCTAGGTCGAGCAAATCACAAAATAATATCTGTATGTCAATGCAATTTTCTCATTGAAATAATGACATTCTTTGTATTGTGATAACATTTGAATTAAAGTTGATTGCAAAGTTGGGTATATGAAATCAACAAAATGCAAACCCATTTCTTATGATGAAAATAATACTTTTTATTGCTTTTATAAAGATTTGCTATACAGAGAACATTTATGTTAACGATGAAAAAAGATTCCGAATGGGATGTGCAACAAAAAGAGTAAGTAAATACATGAATATACATATGATACTCAAATTTATCACAATTTTATGGATCCCCCTTTTGATGCTCTCTAATTCGTAAAAAAGTAAAATAAATATTTTCATTTGTTTACTATATATGTGATACACCGTGCTGATAGTAACACATTCATGTTTTAGAGTTTGTATTTCAAGCAAAGCTTTATTACCGTTTACACAGTGGCTAGACCTTTCGACTGGAGTCGAAGAATAACAAATGGAGGATTGTTTTTATTCATGAATTAATAACCACGTGACTGTCACTTATTTACATTCATTATTGTAATATTTCAAAATATTTTTAAACTTAGATACAACAAAGATGCAAATACGCCCATATGCAAATAAGCAAAATGAACACTATTACTCCGTATGGCGATTTTACGATTTCGTTGCATTTTCATTTTTGGGTTCTGGACGTGGACACTGTAATGTAAGGGATGTTACAGGACTAGTCAGGTTTCACCATATTATAAGCCTCCTTTACTGATTAATGTCATGTTTTTACAGGGAGTGTTATTGTAACTCTTTTTCACTTTACATGTTCTTACACAGATGTGTTGTTGTACGTCTGATTCACTACACATGTCCTTACACATGTTACAGGCATGTGTCTTAACTCTGTTTCGTCAACATGTATTAATACAGGGATATGTAATTGAAAACATTTTATTACAGGGATGTGTTGTCGCCACTCCCTCAGGGGCTCCGGTGGGAGTTCTTGGAAAGCGAGACAACGAGTTATCGTTCTTACACCGCTATAGAAAGGCCTTACCTACAGACCGTACATATTGCGCCAAATGCTGTACAGGGGAGAACTGTAACCGTGATCTCTGTACAGCCAGAACAGGTTAGATGTGTTTTATTATACAATGAGATATACCAGTATGGTGTACAAATGATTGAATCATTTAAACTCTTGGAGATGTATGATCGTAGGAAAGTAAAATTTTACTTGCTCATGGAAACATAATTTCCCGAGCTACCCTTTTAAACGATAAATTCAATGAACCAATATTCCTAAAAAATGGTCCTCCCTGGGGATTATATGAATTCATGAGTTATGGAGCCCAAGGAATCCATAAATATTTGTCCACTACGAACAAAGATGCTTCCACAGTATCAGATTTAGGATTTCAGCATCAATTTCCCGATACCTGACACTTATTTATCATGTGATCCCCTCAAATTCTTTCTTTTTATGTTATCATTTTATTCTTTCTAAGTCTGTTGTTCACAATGTGATATTTTGGGATTTTTCCGTTTAATTCTGCATATCATTTGTCTAGTTATTGACCAGTATCAATTGGTGGCTCCTCCTCCATTGGTCCTTTGTCAAGATTATGATGAGGCGTCTTGTAGGAGTGGTTTGGTGGATGCTAATTTCTGCCAGGATTTAGTAAACAAGAGGTTGTTTTGCCCAAGGACCTGCAATACGTGTTGTATGTATAATAATTTTATATGTAGGTTTAGAGTGATACAATGAACGGTCTCTTTAAACTCCATGATTGTTCAGTGCAGATTTCAGAAATCGTATGGAGGAAAAACATGAAAAACTGGGTCAATTTACGATAAGATTTTTCAGTGCTAAAACCATTGTCTAATAAATAAATTTGGTCTCCCCTCGTATTCTCGAAAGAAATATTCTTATAATATATCGTTGAAATATTTTCTAAAGCTTGCTCTTTGATTTATGAATATTTACTTATATTGCATAAAATGTTTAATCCTAGGGTCATTTTTTAAATAGAATGAAACACATGGAGATTACGAACAGCTTTCAAGATAAAAATACATTAAACAATACAAAATATGCAAACACGGACCTACAAACATCACACGTGGGATCAGGTATCATGGAAGGGTTCGAGTGAGCATCTCCTGCCAATTGGGCACATGCGCCGTGTGCTCCTTGTCATGATTGGAAAATAACGGAAAATTCATTGTCAATTCGGTGTATAAATAATGGACTAACAATTAGTATGAAAAACGTCAGTCAGCATTTGACTCATTGATAAATTGTACTTGCTGACAAGGGCATTGTATCGATCATTGAACTTATGAAATGCATGTTGACCTAACGAGGCCCGATCTAGTTGAAAATTACGAAAACGGAATGATAAAAAATTTTAATTCTTGGAAATATACTTGTATGTTTTATGCTTAGAAAAATTAGAATGAAATTTTGTTACCTTGCCTTTATTGTAGTGAAATGGGAGCACTGTAAAGATATGGACCATTTTTCGTGTTTTTATAAACAATTACATACTAAAACTCTTCAATAAACAAAGAAATTTACAAATTAAAAAAAAGTACATGATGAAATTCTTTGTTTTTCACATATATCTTGCAATTTTCATTCTTCCTATAAAAAATGAAAAGAAAATTGGAGGTAGCCTTTATTGCAGTGAAAAGGGGGCATGTCAAAACACAAAATTTGGATTTATTCTATCCAACTACGTATTTTATAGGTCGCAATGGGTTTACATAACGCCAACAAACGATTGCAATACTGTATTAGTTTCTAAAAAATAAATAATTCTTACATTATGAAATAATTTTCTCGCCATGCTTTATTTTTCTCTTAACACGCGACGTTGTTTTACGTGGAAAAAGGGGGTAGAGGGGGGGGGGGGGTAAAGTCAACAAAATTGCGATTTTTACTAATATCATGTAATATATAGAAAAATAAACTATTTCGATGGTTCAGTTTAAATGCTTTATAGACTTATATTATTTTTTAAAACTGAAGATAATCCATGCATATTTAAGTCCGCAATAAAAAGAGTGTAGATAAACACTTCAGCATGTTCAAAGAGAAAGACTAAAATCGTTTACTTTTAGTTGCAGTATTTGTTTTTTTTAAACTCACAAATTGAAATAAAACAGGATAAAATTAATAAATCTGTACCAAAAAATTTATCCCTCAAAATTAATTAGGTTCCAAAGTCGTTTATTAATTTAAATATTTAAAAAAAATATATAGAAATGCCAGCTTTCAATGCATAGTCTATAGAGCTACCAGGTAAGCAAGATCAGCGAAACATTTTAGCGCAATTTGACGTCATTTTAACTGTGACGTTATTGTGTTCAATTGTGACGGCAGTCAAGGGTATTGTGACGTGCCTGAGTCAACGCTGCGTCAAAACGTATGCGCAGATCAAGTAGATCGGGCCTCGTTAAAACGAGACTGCTGATATTCTTGTTTTTGTAGAAATTGTTAATACGTAGTGCATGTTTTTGCGTATCGAAACTATCTTGCTACTGATTTGCTACTCATACCCATATACATGTACTACATTTGTGTTCATTTTGCTTTGTCTATTAAAAGAATGTGCTCGCATTTTAAAAGATAAAATTATGAATAACTACAAATTTAAAGATGCATGTAGAAATTACTGTTTAAGACCTCCAGAAGAAAGGTTTTTAGTAAACCATTATCACTATACATTTTACTTCTATTTCAGCTGGTGGTGGTATACCTCTCCCTGTCACCACTGCTGTAACCACAACAGGTATGGCTTAAATAATAAATACATCCTTATACCGGTACATGCTATAACCACAACAGGTATGGCTTAAATAATAAATACATCCTTATACCGGTACATGCTATAACCACTACAGGTATGGCTTAAATAATAAATACATCCTTATACCGGTACATGCTATAACCACAACAGGTATGGCTTAAATAATAAATGCATCCTTATACCGGTACATGCTATAACCACAACAGGTATGGCTTAAATAATAAATACATCCTTATAATCAAAGCAGGTATGGCTCAAATAATAAAAACATCCTTATACATGTTATAACCACAACAGGTATGGCTTAAATAATAAATACATCCTGATAACCACAATAGGTATGGCTTAAATAATAAATACATTCTTATAACCACAATAGGTATGGTTTAGATAATAAATACATCCTTATACATGTTATAACCACAACAGGTATGGCTTAAATAATAAATACATCCTTATACATGTTATAACCATAACAGGTATGGCTTAAATGATAAATGCATCCTGATAACCAAAACAGGTATGGCTTAAATAATAAATACATCCTTATAACAAAAACAGGTATGGTTTAAATAATAAATACATCCTTATACCGGTACATGTTATAACCACAGCAGGTATGGCTTAAATAATAAAAACATCCTTATAACCAAAGCAGGTATGGTTTAAATAATAAATACATTCTTACACATGTTATAACCACAACAGATCTGGCTTAAATAATAAGTACATCCTTATAACCAAAACAGGTATGGTTTAAATAATAAATACATCCTTATAACCACAACAGGAATGGCTTAAATAATAAATGTATCATTATAACCACAACAGGTATGGCTTAAATAATAAATGTATCCTTATAACCACAACAGGTATTGTTTGAATAATAAATATATCACTATATCCACAACAGGTATGGCTTAAATAATTAATATATCCCTATATATCCACAACATTTATGACTTAAATGATAAACGTTTTCCTGTAACTAGAGCAGGTATGGCTTCAATAAATAAGTATCTTGCTTTAACTGCAATGGGTATTAAAATATAAATATATCCTATATCCACAACAGGTATGGCTTAAATAATAAATGCATCCTTATACCGGTACATGCTATAACCACAACAGGTATGGCTTAAATAATAAATACATCCTTATAATCAAAGCAGGTATGGCTCAAATAATAAAAACATCCTTATACATGTTATAACCACAACAGGTATGGCTTAAATGATAAATATATCCTGATAACCACAATAGGTATGGCTTAAATAATAAATACATTCTTATAACCACAATAGGTATGGTTTAAATAATAAATACATCCTTATACATGTTATAACCACAACAGGTATGGCTTAAATAATAAATACATCCTTATACATGTTATAACCATAACAGGTATGGCTTAAATGATAAATGCATCCTGATAACCAAAACAGGTATGGCTTAAATAATAAATACATCCTTATAACCAAAACAGGTATGGTTTAGATAATAAATACATCCTTATACCGGTACATGTTATAACCACAACAGGTATGGCTTAAATAATAAAAACATCCTTATAACCAAAGCAAGTATGGTTTAAATAATAAATACATTCTTACACATGTTATAACCACAACAGATCTGGCTTAAATAATAAATACATCCTTATAACCAAAACAGGTATGGTTTAGATAATAAATACATCCTTATACCGGTACATGTTATAAACCACAACAGGTATGGCTTAAATAATAAATGTATCCTTATAACCACAACAGGTATTGTTTGAATAATAAATATATCACTATATCCACAACAGGTATGGCTTAAATAATTAATATATCCCTATATATCCACAACATTTATGACTTAAATGATAAACGTTTTCCTGTAACTAGAGCAGGTATGGCTTCAATAAATAAGTATCTTGCTTTAACTGCAATGGGTATTAAAATATAAATATATCCTTGTCAGCACAGCTATGTCCGTGTAATTACAACACATATAGTTTATATAGATAAGTATTTCTCATTTACCATTAACGGGTATGTTTTTAAAAATACAAATATCACAGCAGTTATGGCTAAAATAATACATATTCTCCCTGTAACTATACTAATCAAAATTTTAAAGTCCACAGGTAAGTTTTTGCTTTACACTGCTTTTATATATATATATATATATATTTTTTTTTTTAACAAAATAGATTAATAAGTATACAGAAAAAAGGAAGCAAAACAATTTTTTCTTCACTTAATCTAATTTTATTGAAGCGCTTTTACACAAAATGCAGAAAAGTGAAGGTACCCTAGAATTAAAAATTCGCAAAGTTTAATACGGCATTTATCGTCCATTCAAACGACTTAATAGCAAGACATCCGCTTCTCGACCGTTCACGTAGCTCAGTCGGTAGAGCGCTCGCTCCGTGATCGGGAGGTCGTGAGTTCATATCTCAGCCGCGACTGACCTAGTGGTTAAAATTGGTAGCAATTGTTCCTTCGCCATGCGCTCGGCACTTTGAAGTGAAAGTTGCGGGTCCTTCGGATGAGACTTTAAAAACCGAGGCCCCGTGTCAGCGGCAATTGTTGGCACGATAAAGATCCCTCACTGCTCAATGGCCCTGAGTGCCGAGTAAAGGTCAAAATTTGAAGCCCTTCACCGGCAAACGGTGACGTCTCCACGGAGTACGAAGTACGGAGACTTCAATTAATTCTAGTGAGTGCCGAGCAGATGCACGTGCAGTTATGTTCCTTCGACAATAGTGAGTAATTCTTATGGCCCTGTTGATGTGTCGTCGTTGCAGTATGTGTACGCCATTGACAATGGGCACATGTGGTTCCGGTTTCAGTGGATTTCCGGATTAACCCTAGGATGATTTAGTGGTATTTGTTGAAAATCTAGCGATTTCTAATGATTGTAAGGGATTCAAGTAAGATTTGTTTAACATTTGGACGGTATTTTTAAAGATTTTACGTAAAATAAACAAATACAAGGAAAGGAAGGACAATTCAGCTTGGACCATGTCAACTTCACTTTCGCAATGTTGTTCGGACATACACAGCATTTTAATATATTTTTTTTCTGTACTTCATAAATAACTAAAGATAGAGAACACATGGAAATTTAAATAAACAAACGATACATCCGAAAACATATGAAACTCGCATAACATGATTTTTAACAAAAACGGACATGGTTGAATATTTACATCCACTGAATATTTTCTCCTCTATTTCTTAAGAAAACCCATCGCCGTTACCGGTAATCAGTGCATGAACAACACTAGGCATATCCCCTGTACAGATTTCTTGATCAGTGGCTGTTCCAGCAATGAAACGTACTAAGACCTGCATATCAATAATAAAATAATAAATATTTTTAATCCTACTTTAACTGATTATTTAAACAGATATAAATATAAACAATAAAAATAAGAAAGGAACGTTGCAGCTATTGCAGAAAAAAATACATACTTGTAATCCACTTACGCGGGTAAGGTGTTTTTCTGCAACAGCTGCGACATTCATTCTCGTATTACAACCAAAGAAAGCATTTTATTGTTTAAGGAATTAAACATTTGATTACAAAAAAAAAATTGGCCATGATAGGTAACCATTGTGATCAAAGGGCAAAATTGTGAGCAACTTATAAATTGATGTTAATGTTTTTAGATTTTCAAAATATTAAAAAAGGGGACTTAGAAATTTTGACAAGTATATAAGTGTTTGGCTTCAGAAAGAAAACATCTCCCTTTCAACGCATCTTTCAAGAATTATTTGATTATCCTGTTTTGTCCCGTTTTTTATGTAAAACAAACAGCATAAGAATGAGTATCATGTTTAAAAGAAACAAAAAAAAACCCCTGATTTTTATTAATATTCTTCAAATTGGTTCCAATGTTGATTTTTATGACATATTTTTTTCATTTCAGGCGGAAGCTCCACAGCTGGTATGTGTTACTGTAATACATTTTAGGGGGCACAAGGAATTGTCCCATACATGACAGAATTAATTAAGATAGAACGAAATTTATATAAGCATCCATTGAATGTAATATTGTATTTGATTTAGATGTGTGTTTGGAGAAGAATCCAGGTCAATGCCAGCAATATAGCGACTTTTTCTGTGATCCTTCAAATCCTGGTGGAATAGATGTTTGTCCTGTGACCTGTAAAAAAACTGGATGTTCATCAGGTCATTAGATTTACAATTACATTATGATTAAATGATTTTTAGCGCAATAAGATAAATTTTAAAACCCTATCATTTTTCTAAGAATTGAATTAAGACAAAGTCGGCAGATCATAGAAAGTCGACACAGTCGAACTTAGACGAAAATGCAAAACTCTTTGTAAAGTTATGATTAATACATAACATTATTCATTTATATTATATCTGAAAATATCTATAAAATTTTAGGGGGATCGACAGGTATGTGAAATTTATATATTACTTATCTTTATATAGTACTTTAACTTTCTTTCAAGCACAGAAGAAAAATTGTTAAATACCTTGACAAAAGAAATAATCACTGTTTGGTATTTTTTGGTTAATAAAGTTAATTTTTAAGAGAACTTGACAAATGGCTTTTTACGTCTTGAAAAATAACAATATATTGTTTATAAATATATTGCATGACATATTTATTTTTTTCTGATTGTAGTAAATCCAGTAACAGGCAAGTAATTAAATAAAATTTGTTAACTTTTCATTCTACAGTTAATTTATTAGCAATATTTCTTATGTTTCCGGAGGATATTGAATAATACAGAATGAACATTGCTTAACGAAGTTTAAGCTTATAACTTACCATAACACAGCAGGTACTTATGTTTATCTACAGAAGCTTGAAGTTCGTAATATAAATATCGAATCAACGACAACATTTAAGGGAAAGTAATACCAGATAACTACTCGTATAACGAATAAGAAAAATTGGAATAAAGATATTAAACAAGCAATAAAATTCATATTTAACTTTAATTTATATCTGCATTTCTATTTCGTACAAGGCTGGATTTGTGAATTCTGTCTGCATTCTGTATATGCTGAAAATCCAATATAAAAAATCAAAATTAATCGAATTTGTTTTTTAATACATTTTTAATGTAATGAATACGTTTTTTAGCTGTTTCAACAAAACCCACTCCAACACGTAAGTATGAATAACTTAGATGATAACAAATGATATTGAATAACTTAGATGATAACAAATGATATTGAATAACTTAGATGATAACAAATGATATTGAATAACTTAGATGATATAACAACTGATAACTGATATCGAAACGATATCTGTGTATTTTATGGATATGGTATTTATGTCTTTTCTATTCAAAAAATTTACACACGAATCCATGAATAATGATTATTTGATTTATTGGAAATAGTAGAACAATTGATAGAAAGAAAAATATTCCGGTTGTTTTGAGGAGCAATTTAACATACAATGTACATACAAGTATATTAAAAATCCACTTAAGCATGTAAGTTTCTAAAGTTAACAAATGATGCATATTCGTACCTTTTTAAACTGGCCAGCAATATTTTAAAAGGGAGATACAATTCTTTGTCAATTTTTTACTGCATCCTACTTTACATTCCATTTTCATTAGCTTGTACAGACCCAATTCCGCCATGTCAGTGTGAGTATCTACAGAACAAACTTCAGATCTGCTACGATGGAGATCAGGAGCTTCAGAAATTCTGCTGCTATTATTGTAAGAAAATCCAAGATCCAAATTGGGTGTGCTCTGCGACCGATAGAACATTTTGTGACGCTTATGAAAAGCCGTTTGCTCAGGAGTGAGTAATTTTAATGCATTGTAATGAAACACTAGAAGATAACTAAAAGTGATGAATCTCAAAACTAAAATCAAATAAGTAAATAGAAAAAAAAACACTAACCCCTGAAAGTTCAAGAGATGGGTTCAGGTGCCTAGGATGGCGATACATCACCTAGTAAGCGTAACGGTTTACGTATGCTTGCCTTTCAAAATATCTATTCAGAGTGTGTCCTTATAGAATTACTTCTGTTTCTTAAGAATATATTGAGCACAAATTGTATTCTGAAATATTTTATACTTACGAAAACAATCTTTGCAGAAGTTATCTTGATTGTTTTTCTAATACAACGTTGTAAAACATAAGATACGAGGGTTGTTTGGAAAGTTCGTGGACTACATGTAGCACCATTGAATCAAAACCGCTTAAGATACATTAATAAATTTTTCAAGGTTTAATTAGCCCATTAATGAAATTGGGTTGGTTTCTTATTCCAATATTCTATAAAGCTTCACCCTCTGAAAAAAAAACAAAAAAACTAGCATAGATCTAGGAAATATTCAAATGGGCTACTGAAAAATTAAATGGATTCATAGTACTTGTTTTTAAATGCCAAAAATATTAGAGGGACGAGAGATATGTAAAGTTAAAGTCAGTTTGTTGTAACGGTGGTTAAAGTTTGTCACGTCGAAAAGTGACGTTGGTCATGGACGATAGATGTTGAAGTCCTCACGCACATATGTTGATGTAATCAGATGAGGATCTTTCACTATGTATAGATATATTTACAATATTATATGCATCGAAATCAGCTGTTCATGACATTGTAGAATCAAATAAACAATACCGGTTTAAATCTTTAATGAACTCCAGAGAATTTCATCAATATAACTGTATAAGGTAGAAAATGTGGATCCCGAGAAACAATAAGGTCACGAAACTAAATGACGACAGCGAGTGATGATACAATTTCCTTTTTATTTTAGGATAATTTGACAAATGTTAAAGATATCAAGCTAAAATGTTAAATTTTCCTTTAATTTTCTTTTGTTTTTTGATCCTTAAATATTTTGTAAGCATACACTACATAGTATTTATTTTATCGCATCAGTCCGCGAACTTTTCGAAAAAACTTCGTAGTTTTGCTTTTCGTTTATTCGTGTTAATAAATTTGTTACAAATACTGTCTGTTAATTTAATTAGACCAATAAGAGCATACTTTCGTTTTTATATAATGAACTGATGAGGGTTTTAATTTTATTAAAACTTTCTGATTTTGATAAACTTTTAGCAATCTAATTAAAATCAGACTTCTTATTTTCGCGCCGTATACACTTATGCAGAGTGTATACGGCGCGGATCTAAGAAGTCTGATTTTAATTAGATTGAACTTTTAGTCACATCACAATGAATTTGGTTTGCTCTTTTTTTCAGAATTGTAGGTATAAACATAACCTGTCATCATTAGTGGAAATAAAGTTGTAAGAAAATAAAAAGTTGGTTTTTTTTAATCCTTTCCCGTTGTAAATGTGAATCAAAAAATAACCGAAGCCTCATCAACACAAGACATAAGATAGAAGGATGCATCGACAGAGGGTATAGCTTTGGTTCTTTTTAATTGTGAAATAAATGTTGAACGATGAAATACATTCAATACTGTAAAATTATATATCTTCATTGGATCGATTTTCGAGGTTTGTGGCAAAAATATTGGTTTGTGGGAACTCTATTTCGTGGTTGGAGAATGTTTAATGCATATGAAACTTTTCATATGAAAATTTCGTGGTGGAAATAAATTCTTGGGTCTCTCCATGCCTCGTGAACAACGAAAATTAATTCGACATGATAATTGTAGATTTCACATTCAAAATAACTTAATAAAGTGTAATCATTCCTAAGATTCTTTCATTTCAAAATATATATTTTATAAAAAAAATAATTTAATTTTGTTTGTATTCTCGCCTCTCATTGATTGATTTCCAAAAAGGAACGCAAAACATTTTGTATAATCTGGTTTGGTATGGGGACACACCCCCTTGACGACCAGCTTAATCATCATATCCATGCAATCTCCTCATTTCCTGTCCTCTGAATCCATGGAAAATTCCAGATTTAATAAATGTACCTTCAACTTTACACAATTACTCGTTCTTACCTCATGTAAACAAACATCATGGCTGCTAGATCTATGTATCAGTTATTACCTCCCCTCGCTTCAAATCACTTCCATTACTACGGTTGTATTATTGCGCGGTAAATTTTAACTTATAAAAAGCAACACAATTTTAAATCAAAAGTTATTTAATTATTTTAAAATTAAATTATAAGGAATGACTTTAATTCTCGGCCATATTATCGAGTATAATCTGGTTTGGGTCAGTTTACGCTTTTTTATAATCCGCTTCGCTTCGCGGATTATAAAGCGTAAACTGACCCAAACCAGATTATACTCGATAATATAGCCAAGAATTAGAGTCATTCTTTAATTAGATAAAAAGCGATAAAAATAATATGTAGCATTATCGAAACGATATCTGTGTATTTTATGGATAGTATTTATGTCTTTTCTATTCAAAAAAATTACACACGAATCCATGCATTGTGTTTTTGTTTGTATATCCTTTTGATGATAAGCAATTATGATAAAGTTTGGTCTTCAGAAGATGGGTTTCTAATGGCAATATTACGAGGGTTGTCCCAAAAAGTCGTAGACAGGAAACATAGTTTATTTTCTCTTTGCTAAATCAAATTTCTTTTCTTGTCATAGCAAAGAGTAACATTTTATGATCATGCATTTCAAGTTTCATGACGATACCACATTTGATAAGAAAACTATGAAAAAATAAAGAAACCACGTAAGTGTACATCGGCGCACGAAAGCAAGCGTAATTTACGTCTCTCATAACGTCATGGTCCCTTTTTCTGATTCACATGCGTCTATTAACATCCAAATGTTAAATTTTTTTTATAGTGAAAAACCATTCTTGACTAAGGGACTAATTTAAATTCACTACTGTCCGTTTTCTTATGCAGATTCAAGTTTTAGTCAAAATAAAATTAGTTGAAAGACCACCTTACATTTTAGGCAGCAGAGAATACACCTTGTTTGAAAGTGTTCATGGACCGTTCCCAAATGTCTGCGTTAAACAATCAGTGCTCTACTTTACATACAATAACTATTTTTTTCGATATAGAGGAAGTTAAAACTATCTTTGAATCTCGTGCTATTAAATCCAAAAAAAAAACTTTTCTATTAATATATAGTGTGTACTGTGTAATGTCATTTCTGTACTCCTTTTCCCCGTCTCTGGGGGTGAGGGTTGGGGGGTTGAAATTTTGAAGAAACTTGATTTTTTTGCACTCGACGTCACAGGTTTTGGTGCTTGGGTTCGACTAATAACCACAAAATCCTGAAAACAGGATGGCACTAAATACAAGTCCAGTACTAAAAAGCTTAATGACACTTTGATAAATGGATTTACATGTAACCTTAAGTGGTTAAATCACATTATCAAAAGATGCCCTAACCTTTGGCCTTTATACTAAAGATAACAAAATGCTACTATTTAATTATTTATATTCATTTGGCGATTTAGGCCACGGCTGCATTAAACAAATAAGAGAGCCCGGCATCAATTCTTGCCTTTTTGGCATCCCCACAAATAAACAAATAAGGGAGCCCAGCATCAATTCTTGCTTTGGTGGCATTCCCACAAATAAACAAGCATGAATGGTGAGCCCTGGGAAGAGATGCTCGCCTGCTTGGACAATAATTGCAAAATTCAATCAATTGTGCACCAAGTCATATATTGAGATTATAGGTTAGGCACTACTGGTGAGCCAAATATCCGCCACGAGCCTATGCTTTGAGCATTGGCTGCGCCACCAGTAGGGCAGTCGGGAGGAAAAAAGGAGGTCAATATTAAAATTGATAATTACCTAACTCATGTTCACGTCTTTCAATAGTGTAATTTATGACAATAATAAATACTTTGTAAAATAAAATGACCAAGAAAATAAAGACTTTAGGTCAATACAAATACATAGACCCTCAACAGTCTATGGGCAAGAGCAAAATTGACTTGGTGCATGACAGTACAAATACATAGACCCTCAATAGTCTATGGACAGTAAATAAAATAGCAACCATGACTAAAATCTAGTCATGGCGCAGCCATGGCCCATTTCCCCCATCTCTTGGGGACACGTGAACTGAGTTGTTAATCAAGTATACTTGCAAAGCCTGTTGCAACCTATACAACAAAGAGTTATTATCTATCTCAGATTAATGAGAAAGGTGAACTCTTATGTTTAGAAAAATGACTAATAAATTGTAATGGGGAGGCCACTCTTCTGTGTCAAAATTCTTTTTTAATTATATATGTTAACTGCCCCAATTTGATGGTATGCAAATTGTCGTTTATTAAGTGTTAATTTCTAACCCCCAAAAGTCAAATGTTTGTAGGTCCCACAGTTTTTCATGAGCCAAGGGGATGCCCAGCCATGACAAATGGAACTAAACACCAACATAAACATGTATAAGCCTAGCACAATCTTGACTGCCCTCCCTTCCTGCTACCAGAAAAACATCTAAATAATGAACCACATTGTTGCTTTTGGCCTGCTGCTTAAGTACCCATTCTAAAAAGGTATAAAATTTCTCAGACTTGGAACAGCTTAAGTGGAAAATCCAAAGGGCAAGCAATTACCTACAAATATCATACACTGAATTTAAAGCCTAATAATTCATAATCTGCTCTGTGAATCATCAATAAGCTAAATGCATTTTATGTCTAATCTAGTAATTTGCCTGGACCTAATTTTGCAAGCGTGTTTAATGCATCGTCAAATGACGAGCAAGTAACTGAACAATGCTCCTTACTAATAAAATCATTGACGCTAGGCCCTGAAGTGTAAGACAAGTGATGAATCAATATGCAAGAATTTTAACCCCCCTTTCTTTTGTACCATGCCCACTGTAGACGACCTAAGGTTCGGTAGAGGGGGCTGATCACATGGACCTGCAACTCTGCCTAACATGATTTCATTAACGACCAACTGAACAGCTTCATACTGTAACCCAGACATGGATTTAAAATTATTACAGTCAGTGGCCGCTCAAGGCCCTTCGTAACACAACCTAAAACCATATGTAAAACCCCGCAAAAGTTCTAAGCCTACCAAGCCAAGTGGGTAATATGCTGATATTTAACAGTATGTCAGTCATTTTGTTTGTTTGTATGTTGTTCAAAATTTCACTCAAATAATGAAGCCTAAGTTTACGAAAAATGAATCCTATACTTCAAATATACAAGCATATTTAGGAAGAGCGCAGGAAAACCAATCAAAATTCCTGTTATTCAAGGCAATACGGGGTAAGAGAATAAATAATGGTCACATTCAATGAACATAAATATTCGTTATACAGCAGTAAAATTAGTTCTGTTTTATATTACTGAAAAATTCTTACTGCAATTTTTACAAGAAAAACAAACAAAAACAGTCTCAGATAGACAACTTACAATAATTATGTTCTCTCCTTTCTGGACCACATTGTAAATATCGTATATTCCTTTGACGATTGCTTTATTTATTCTTAAAAAGAATTATATATAACCAGTCACTTTTCGTAGCTAGCTATTTCATTCTATTTTTTTTTAACATTAAACATTTCAATTCTCTTGGATTCATTTATGAACGATTAATAGCCCTTGAGGTTTTTGATCTGCTTCAAACAGGAAACTTTGATAACACCAAACCATTCAATGGTATTTTTTGTTCTATGAAAATAATTGGAAATGGAATCATTGAACCAGGAAGAAAATAGAGGGACATTGGAAAGGGGCGAGACATAAAACACGTACACAAAGGGTTCGTTTAAGTTTCATTGATAAAAATTATCACGTTTTGGTCCAAGTCTCTTATATAAAGAAATGATCAAATTAACCTTTTTCTTTGATAAAGACACGTGTTGAAGTTTCACTCATTGCAATTAAGGATATGTTAGGAATAAACCAGCGATTAATTGTTTATGAAAATTTAGAAAAGATACTTCTTATTTTTTAAAAAAAATATTTTGATCTTTGGTTACTTTCATTTTTTTGGATTGTCATATTTACTCGGTTATTTTCATAACATTTCTAGTTTAAAGCTGAACACGACTTGTAAATAGGCATACGCCATTTTTGATAGCATTATCTACGATACATCAATACTAGGGTATACTCGTCGCATTCGTTACACCTGACTGCTTTATTGTCACAGGTATCGGCGTGGAATGGCGACCCGTGTTCGTGCTGGTTATCTTATATTACCTTTGTTTATATTTTATTGCAGTTACGTTTATCTATGTTGTTTGTATACCGCACTGACTTATACAACTATAATTGTGAATTTATTTGGTATCTTACTTTCCTGCATTAGACGAAGTATTACGTTATTATTCTCGCTACCAAGTCCTGTATAGCATACGTCCGTCTACACCGGTGTCGACTGATTCAATTGAACAGTCTC